GAAGCTTTGGACTTCATGGACGGGCAGAAATCCGTAGGGAAAGGGACAAGAATGGTAGTGGATCTCATAGGTGGGTAAGGCATCCCGAATCGGCATTTCAACGTTCCCTTGAATTTCATCTGGCAGCAAGAAGTATGTCTATGGCTTTGGTGGATTACTCCTTCAACTTCGGACGTGCAAGTGATGTACTTGTCTATAAAGGATGTGCAGAGTTCGACAGATTCCGGGTCTTCCTCATCAAATTTTGGAGCATCCTTCAACCAGAACAATCCGTGCATGTGAGGACTTCCCCGGTGTTGAAATTCGATCCGCGTGAAATAGTCAGTGACGGGATGGTCCTTAAAGATTCCGGATTTACTCAGAACTAGATATTTCCGGCATTGTTTCAACTTATAGTCGAAATATTGGCTACAAGTGATTGGATCTTTTCTGATCAACTCCGCCTTTGATTCCAATGTCATTTCCTCTGCTTCTTCTTCCGAGATTGTAGTGGAATCAAGGACTTGCTTGAGGATCACAATGAGCTCTTTCCACTTCACTTCGGCAGCTGAGAGAGTAATGAAAAGCGTCGGAATTCCTAGTTGGCGAATCATGGCCATGAGCGTTTTTTGTTTGTCTTGCCAATAAGCTGGAGACGACCTTGTATTCTTTCGTAGTTTGTAACCGTCATCTTGCTTGACCAATCCGTTTACATACTCTTCGTTTAAAAGGTTCCCAGCTGTCTCTGAACCTTTTCGCTTCCGCAAGCATAGAGAAACTTGATTTGCTATTTGAAAAGTTTGACTGAGCTTGTACGAATATAGCAACTTAGAGGGAATGGCACACCGACGATCCTTGTTTCTTGCGTCTGATTTGGCAATGTCCGTATGGGTTATTCCTGGAATCTTGAATACTCGCTTCTCTCCACCATAGATTGAAGGAAAAGACAAAGCCTCGGCATTTAGATCCATCAGTAAGGATATTGGCCTTTGTCCTTCTCCTGGAGCGAATCGTATGGCTTCAATGTTCTCAATTGCATCAAAATCAATGAGCAGAGTCTCTTGACCACCAGGATTCAGTTCTTCGTTCGGATGTCGATTGTCAACAGGCTCAGGTCGTAAATCTTCCTGTTGTTCTTCAACAATAAACTGGACGTCTTCGGTTCCCATTCTGGAGAGCCAGTCCTCGGACAGAACAATCCCCTCTTCTTGGTAAAGTGACGTCTGAGCAAGATACCGAGCTGCATCGTAAATTTTCTTGGGGCGAACAGTCTCATAAAGGTATGGGCTTTTGTACTCCATTCTCCTCATCAGCATTAATTGAATCACCGAGGCCTCGTTGAACTGCCTGGGTAGAATATTGACAGTCTCGTTGATAGGGTTTACGACGTTGACGACATTCCCTTTTAGTCCACACTGGCGGTCAACTCCCAGTTTCTGTATCATCATGAAAGGAATGCGACCCGCTACAAGTCGTTCCTCCAGTGTTGTCATTCCTATATAGTATTTTTAATTAGTTTTACTCACTAAAGAAAATAATACAATGTTTATACCTTTCAAGACTTCAGGGATTTCGGGAAATTCAAACCCATTAGAGAAACATAATTTTGGGACTCTTCCAGCGTTTACGTGAGTAGAACAGGTGGAACAGAGTCGCTGGTCTTTGTGATCCGAAGGCCGCAAAACTTGATCCAGGAAGGATTGGTGGAACTTCTTTAACAGCTTTGGTCGATCAAGTTTTCTGGTGGAAGTATTGAAGAACAGGCCGTCACAGCAGACACAAGGAACTGTAGGGCCGTGCTTGATCGCTTTTCGAAATTCCTCGTCTCCGTCTGCATTTAGCCTCTGATATTGCCTTGCTTCAGTATCTCGACTTCAATATTAATACTATTATGACATCAAGCTTAGATGTATTAAATAGTTTTAGAATTTTAGGAATACCTCTGCTCTATTTTACGACTGTTGGGATCTAATCGAATCTTCCTGCGTGCTTCAGCATCCGCCAGTCGCTCAGCTGCCCGTCTCTCCTCGTCAAGTCGAATTTGTTTACGGGCTTCTGAATCTGCTATTCGCTCAGCTGCCCGGTGTTCCTCATCAAGACGAATTTTTTTACGAGCCTCCGTGTTTAACAGCTGCTCAGCTGCCTGCCGTTCCCCATCAAGACGGATTTTCCTACGAGCCTCCGTGTTTAACAGCTGCTCAGCTGCCCGGTGTTCCTCGTCAAGACGGATTTTCCTACGAGCCTCCGTGTTTAACAGCTGCTCAGCTGCCCGGCGTTCCTCGTCAAGACGGATTTTTCTACGAGCCTCCGTGTCAATTAGCCTTTCTGATGCACGAACTTCCTCATTCAGTCTTGAGTTGTTCCGCCGCTTGGTATCATTCATTCTCTTTTGATCCTGGGACTGCTTCTTGAGCTTAGGCATTTTGTATTATATATCTTCTGTAACTGCAACAAAATGTTCTTCAACTGGAATACGTACTGGACGGAATTCAACAGGAACTACTGACGTGAGCAACAGGAACAAGCAACAGGAGTATCTTTAACCACTGGAACCGAGTCCGTATCTTCAATAACCGGAACAAGAATCTTCTGCAACTAGTTGTCACTTGTATTAAACTTGGCTTTGTTGAAAATTCTCAAGGATTACAAAAATGCAAGACAAGTTTGTCGGGTTTTCAAATTTTCCATTTGATAATTTGGCAAATATTTTTTTTTGGATCTTGTTATTTTTATACACAATTGTTGCTATTAAGTAACTAGGTGACTAAATACTATAATACAAGGACAAGAAGTCAAATTTTGAGTTTTAAGAAAATTGAATTTACATTTTACTTGTTGCAGTCAAAATCACAATATGTACTACATCGGTTCAATTGGAAGCAAATAATTTAGCTTGAAAATAAATTATTTACAATCTGGTATTGGTATGGGTCGACCGACAACGGTGTTAGAAAATTGTCGTAGGAGGATGAAAATTTGCGTGAATATGATCTTAGCCCCCATAAAGTCGAATCCAAACTCGAAATTAAATTCAAAACTTTCTCCTGGCTCGGGCTAAGCAAAGCTGTACTAGAGGCATTGGCATGGCTGATTAGACGATTTTTTTAAATCGCTATGGGTAGCCCATACGGTCCCTCCACCTGAATTTTTTTTCCAATTTAACTTCGTATTCTTTCATTAGAAGACATTACCAATCTTTATGCCAAAATTCAGCTTAATTGAGTGATTTTGCAAAATCAGTATGGGTCACCCCACCGGGTTCCTCTGGGTCAAAATTTTCAAAATTGTACATCATAAACTCCCATTATAAGCTGCTATCGACTTCCATACCAAATTTCAGCTTAATTGGACGATTTTGAAAAATCAGTTTGAGTGACCCCATAGGGTCCCTCCAGATAAAAATTTTCGCAAATTCACTTCATATCTTTTCATTAGAAGCCATTAGTTACATATTTACCAAATTTCAGCTTTCTACAACAATTTTGAAAATTTGATGCATAATAACCCCACCACCCATATGGCCCCCACCGGCCAACCACTTGACCGATTCGGCTCATCTTCGAACTTGATTTGTCTTTTGGGTAGATATAGATGTGGTAAAAATTTCAAGTCGATCGGTTGAGTTTGAAGAGAGTTATCGCGAAGACAGACGGACGGACGGACAGACAGACAGACATAACGGGTACATAAGCCCTGGCTCGGGCTAAAAACTAATAACTTCGAATGGGGCAAGAGTAGATCTAAGATTTTTCAGGGGATGAATCTCGAGAATGCGTGTCATCCCCCAAACCGCTAAGCTCTATCGATCCACGTAGCGAAGTTATAAGGCGTTGAAAAGGGCCGAAAATGGGGTTTTTCAAGTGTCGCCATACTGCGCCCGGCGTTGTGGTTGACCAAATGCTTTCAAATTTGGAGGGTAAGCTACACACACATAGACCTACAACCTAAGCCAATTTTAATGTCAAAGGTCAACCGGGGAACCATTTCGCCCCCAGGGGGTGTGGCCCAACGAAATTTCACTGACGGTCCTTCCAGCCCTCAGGACGGAAGAATATGCAAAAATATAGGTATGCAGAACCAGGTCTGGGGAATTGTTGGAAAGTGCCCCATAAGGCCACCGCAGCGTGCCTCCCTCCATAAAATGTTACGTAATATATGAACGGGCCCTTGTGTCATCTCTTGGGGTGGCGAAAATCGTCCTCCAATGTGGTAGGACGATAATATAGTGGTGATAGTCATGAACTGGCTAAAATTCGTCCATCGAAGTAGAAAAGGTGACCGAGTGGCGAAAAATCGTGCGAAATAATATTGGTGGTTGTGGCGAAAAAACTCAGAAATAATTTTGGTGGTGGAACTGGTGGAAGACGAAAGCCGGTCAAAATTATGAATGGGTGCACTCGCGCAGGATTTAGTACCGTAAATTTAGGATGTGATCAATAATTTTGCCATAAAAGCGATAATGGGGGGTGAACGGTACCATCTACAGCTTTGCTTGTACTACAACTTTTGAAAGATGAATAGTTTGCCTACAATGTTAAGTGGTCACATTTTGTAATTTTGCCTCTATTAAATTATCTAGAATGCAAACTCACATAAAAATTTTACTGTAATTTAAACTAAATAGTAATTGAACAAAGGCAAAATTACAAAATGTGACCACATAATATTGTAGGCAAGCTATTCAGCTTTCAAAAGTTATATCACAAGCAAACCTGTAGGTGGTACCGTTCACCCCCCATTATCACTTTTATGAAAATGAATTAGCATTGCGAGCATACGAGGAAAATCCTGCCGTGAGGTGTTGGGTAAAATGCGGTGCCGTAGCTTAAACAAAAATTCATGAATTTTTTCTCCCCTTTGGTTGCTGGACCTAAAAACTTATATTAAAAAATTATGAAATGTAAACTAACGTTGTCGACAATATCTTTGTAGATAATCTTTAAATTAATACACTAAATCCATAACGTACCAAAGTTGAGGCAATTGCAACAAGCCAAATATATGTCATGCACTATTTCCAGTTCCATGCCCATTACCGGAAGTTTTTCAAGAACCACAGTGAATGCGATGTCAGGTGCAAAAAGTCCTCTAGGCAAGAATTTATAACATCTTTCACACATGCTGACATATTTGCGCAGGAGACAACATTTGCAATTGCAGTTATTTTATACTTCTTTAGGAGGGCTTGTGACAGGAGCGATGGTTATTTTGGCCCTTCGGTTTCTGACTCCTTATTTCTACTATATACCAAAGGCTAGTCTGGCTGCAGTTATCGTTTGTGCGGTGATATTCATGGTCGACTTGGATGTGATTAAACCTATGTGGAGAAGCAAAAGTGAGCAGATTTAGACAAATTGATGTATGCAACTGATTGTAGAACTATGAAAAATGTCTGAAAAACATTGCTGTCAGAAATGGAATTTGTTCCCTGGAGTTTGACTTTCATCGTTTCTCTGTTCGTGGGTTTGGAGTGGGGAATGATGACTGGATTCATCATTAGCGTTGTATATCTTTTATATTACGCCGCCAAACCTGGTGTTAAAGTCAAGAAAGGATATGTAAGGTCACACTTTATTACATTACTTTATTACTGTACAGCTCGTCCTGTTTTCTGATTTTTAAAGAAGGAATACACTTTTACATTTTTGATACTAATTTTGCAGACGAGCTGCGGAAACGAGTTTCTTCTTGTGGAGCTTGATCGCTCGATTACTTTTCCATCGCTAGAATATATAAAATATGTAATATCCAAATCAAGCATATCGTGGGGAAAGAATAAGCTTCCTATGGTGGTGGATTGTGAGTTGATATATTTGTTACATGTTATAGTAACATAAATATTCAGATTACTAAATGATGTACATGTTGAATGAGCATACATTCTGATTATGCTTGATATGACTTAATATTGCAGTTTCTGAATATACATTCAATTTTAGGTAACCATGTCCAATTTCTGGACTATACGGCTGCCAACGGTTTGAAAGATGTAGTACAACAATTTAAGAAACGGCGTCAGCCAATAGTGATGTATAAAATGAAATCAAGTATAATTCGAACCCTGGTTGGTGCGATGCCAGCCCCGGAGAATCTGGAATCAGATGACGCAGGATTCAGAATTTGCAGAAGCGAGTCTGAACTGGAGCAATTCATCGGTAATTCTTAGAATGAAATATAAAGAAACCGCAGTTAAGCCTAAATTTTATATGTACAGATGCCATAACGTGTTCCATTTCCAGATGAAGTGTCCCAGGCTATTTCAAGGACAGAGGTTTTAGAACAAAAAGAAGTAGGTACAGAAGATGTCACGGTGGATGTCCATACTCCTCTCCCACACCACAGAAATAAATATAATTCTTTCCCTTTAAACTAATTAATAGTCAGGAAACCTACAAAGTTTAATAATTTTTGAATTTGTATAAAATGTAAACTACACAATAATAAACTGAGTTACTATTTATTAAGACCATAATAAATATCATAAATTAATGTCTTGCGCAATAAGTACATATTTAGGTATAAATGTAAACATATAGACAGGTTACCGGCTTTATAAATAAGCATAAGTATGTACATAACATCATATAATAAGCAATGCAAATCTACCATTCAAAATTGAAAGGAAAAAATATGCAATCACAAATAACGGAGTAATATTACCTCTAAGAAAAAAAACTCAGTAAGCATTATTATCAATAACAATGGCTCATCTACTTCATCCTAGACATAAGTTCCAATGATAACAGAATCAAGGCTACGGAAGAACATAATTATAGGAAGAACGTAATTACATTTCCGCTCCGTGTACATATAAACAGCATCTTTACTTTATTATGATAAACTGTTACTGTTAATGCGATCACATTTTCGGTACTAATAATTAGCGCTTTCATATTGTGCCTATTCATTAATGTATCCCGTTTATTCTTGCACAGAGTTCAATAGAAACACCAATGAAAGAATTTGTAACAATGCTTTGTTATTTTTTGTCGGTAATTATACGCCCAAGGATCCAAAGACGAAAACTTAACTTTAGAAAAATTGCGGAATCTCATACAAAGGAAGATGGCTATAATCCGTTCTTCTTATAACAAAAATAATGTTTGTTTGTTTAGCATGATTTATTTAATCCAAAAGAAAGTTAAGAAGAATATACTTATACCAGTCAGACCCCATTGCACATGGGAAATTGCCTGATCATATAATAAATAATTATAATAATAATGTAATGTAAGAAGTAATGACGGATAAGATAACTCTTATAAAAAAGTAGTAGTGAAATGTATTTATCGTCATGTAAGTTTTTGAGTTATGTACACAGGTATGTTTGTTGGTGTTGTTCATGGAGTTTATGTTTAAGCTTCAAAAAAACAACTACTGGCATTGGTATTAAGATAGGATTGGGATACATATGTAAGTATACGCCTTCACTTCTATGTGGCCTCTACTTTGTAGTAAGCTTACTTTTCTATTTAACTTCAGCTCGAGAATTTATTAAAGTGCAATTAAAATTATTCTGGCGAGGTTGATGTTTAATCATCAGTACAGGAATAGGAAATGACAATAAATTGAGATGCGCTTAGGAATACTTAATGATTTTTTAATGATGGAATTAAGAGTCAAATGTTAATGCTAAAACGGTACTCATTCAGGCTCAACTACAGAACATACCAACAATACGCATTATGTAATACATATAAGAATAATTTGGGTTTGACAGGAATGGCAATTGAAGCAACGCAAGGCAAGCAGAGGAGGGTGACTTGTATGCACGTAATTGAACAACAACAGTAAAATTCAAGAATTACACCCTCAGCTCATATGTATGTAAGTTTGTGGACAAGAAGGTGAAAAATTCTCACGTGAAAACAAGATTAGTCGACAACATGGCATACGACACCGTTAAATAGATGTATTTCCCACTTTAATTCGATTAGTTCCTTTTAACTGTACTGAGGACAACCCGTCGCCATTCCGCTGATCAGAACTCAACAATGTTTTACCCCGTGTTTTCAGTTGCAATGCGTCGGTGTCGGTATATATGTAGCTATTGGGGTGGTGATAAAATCTCAAAAGTGAAGTGAGGCTAAACTTGACGAAACGATTTGATATCGAACATGGGTCAGAAACCATCATTAGTTATTCTTCTCAATTTGCTCACGACTACGAAAGTATGCAAATGTTATTTTGCAAGCGTCGTCGCGTCTTCTCATTCGCACCATTGACTGATATTTACTTTGGGCCATTCCTTTGAATTCTTATAATGAATTTTAATATTTAATACCAGTTCTCAGTAATCAAGGTTTAGAAAACAAAGCCATAATTTTATTCATCTATTCTGCATACACTGAAGACACTGAGGACCGCAGTAGCAGAAAAGAATTTAATTTGTACACCGTGAAATTAACCCTTCGGTTACGTTATCTTGATTGCTTGTTGAAGAAAGTCTGGTTATATACATATGCATACCGATAAAATAACAAGTGGGAATTAACTCGTAAGTTGTTCAGTGGAGTAAAAGTATTACATAAATTGTCTAAAAACACTTTCAGAAATGTAAGCAATGAATTAGTGCTCTAATTAAGTTAAATACGTCTCTGACTTATTTTCCTATTTTAATCCTAAATGCTCGCATGCATGTGTGTGTGGTGTATAATATTTAGGTATTTTTGCTGAAGCGAGAGTATAAATAATTTGATTCGTCCAAGAATGCATATTTTCCATTAACGATGAACACAAGTCCATCGCCTGTACAAAATTAAAGTTTTCAGCATACTTACATATGTGTTCCGTATTGTGAAGAGTTATTGAATTCAATATAAAACGGAAAGGCATCATGGTAAGACTACATGTTTATAATTATATGAGAGACATATTTTTCATGAACTTTTCATCGTTGGAATGAACCACAGAGTGAAAGTTAAATTGTTTGTATCCAGATTCTTTGGAGAAAGGAAATTGTGTTCGCTCTGATGCAGCTCTTTATCTACAAATCCCACTCGGCCGGTCTTCATGAAATTTGCGGTCGTAGCTCAGAATGCAGCACCGAGTTTTCCCATTGCGATGAAAATATTAGAAAGTGTGTGTGTCGACCCCACACCGTGGAACACAACTCGACAACATGCTTACCCGGTATGATGACCCTGCATTTTGTACTGTAGTGTGGGACACAATTTGTATTGTGCCTTCAAGTAGCAAGAACAAACCCCTATTGTTCAACAATTTTGTAGCCAGAATTATAAATATATACCACGAGTCACTGGCCTCCTTTGCAATTTATTTAGTAACTCAAATGTGAACGCATCAAGGTCTTGGTTAAATCTCATCTTGGTAACTTTATCAAGTAGTATAAATCGTTAGTTCATGTATGTATGCATGCACGATTGCTTGACATTTAGTATCTAGGTAACGTTAGTCTCCCTTAACGGTTGCGACAATGGTTGAGTTACAAATAAAATAATTAATTTTAAAAATAGTTGTTTCTTCTCGATGGTCGAAAAAAACAACTCTTTGACCTTTAATAACTTTTGAATGGACAGACGTAGAGATTTAATTCTGCAAGATGAAATCATCGTAATTTTTAGCTTGATTTTTTATGCTAAAAATCTCGAAGCTACTATTTCAAATAGTAAACTTGAAATCTCCAGTGGGCAGCCTTTATGAGCCCGAGTCAGGCTCTGCGGTTATCGTTCAAATCCACCATTTGGCTGGTGGAGTGTCATATTTTTGAAAGATCTGTATGGATTAAGCCCTATGGTCTACCCGTAGGGCACAATTTAAAAATTTCAACTTCCTACGACAAATTTGGGACTTTTCTATGACATTTAATATTTTTTTTTGTCAACCTTAACCACTTAAGAGACCCCCACCGACCAAACCGATCATGTCTATCTTCGACCTTATTTTTGACCCGAAGATGAACTTCGCAAAATTTCAGGGCGCTAGCTTGTGTCTAAAGAGAGGTATCGAGCGCACAGACAGACATCTTGACAAATCCATAAGCCCGTCTGAAAAGGCCTAAAAATTAGGTTTCCCATTGTAATAATATTAATCACCCATGACATATTTTCAACAGCTTTTATTTTTTGAAACCTACAGCACAGACTTCATTTAGCTCGAGTCAGGGATTCTGTCCCTGACTCGGTGAGTCCGAGCTCACTTCTATTTTTTTCGAAACCGACATAATAATATTACCAACCTCCGTGGTAAGGATAGTTAAATGCTTGTTAGATATTTTCTATTATTTGGCATTTAACTTCATATTCTTTCATGAGTAGCTATTAAGTATCACCGTGTCGGATTTAATATTTTTAAAGCTATTTCTAAAAATCGGTGTGGGTCACCCGTCACCCCATAGGGTCGCTTCAGATAAAAATTTTCCAAATTTCATTTCATATTCTTCCAATAAGACCCATAAGCAACCTCTCTGCCAAATTTCAACTCGATATAACGATTTTGAAAAATCGGTCACCCCATACATAGGGTCTCTCAAGATGAAAATTGTTCTCACTTGAAATCATTTTTATCTATTAGAAGTCATTAGCTACCTCTGTACCAAATTTCAGCTTTCTACGACAATTTCGAAATTTTATCCCAACTACTTACATGACCCCCACCGGTCTACCACTTGACCGATTTCGCCCATCTTCGATCCCGTTTCCTAACTTTGTCCAATATATACACGGTAAAAATTTTAAGTCAATCGGTTCAGCCATTTTTTACTAATGGGTTTACGGACGGACGGACAGACATGACGGTTCCATAAGCCCAGATTCGGGCTAATAAAAATGAAAATTTATTTCGTAACTCGACCATTTGTCGTAACCTTATAGACTGATAAAGTGTCAAATAATCTTGGTATGCATGCATGTATTATTCTTAGTGAGGCAAATACCTAACGACGAAAAAATTACTAAGTATGCAGTTAATATCGTTAAAAAAAGTAACATTTTACGATATCTCAGCCATTTCTCAACCGATTTGGATGAAATTTTGCACAGATCATTTTGAGACAATTTAAAAAAGTTTATGGATTCGACTTAGCGAATTTTTGATTTTCAGCCGACTTATTATCAAAAATGTACCCTTAGAAACACATTTATATTTATAGTTAATTACTGGCATATCTCAGCGAAAATCCAATTGCACAAATTTTTGTGCAAATTTTAAGGGTAGAATGATCCAAATTGGTTGATAAATGACAAAGTTTTTCCTATGAGAGGTGCAAAAAACTGGATGAATAAAATAGCAACACTATTGACAACAAAACATCCAAAAAACTATTAATTACAAGTATTAAATAAACAAAGTCCCAAAAAGATGGAAATCTTGGTGAGGCAAATTCTCTTCCGGAAAATATATTTAATATCTGTAGTTGTACCAAGCCTCACTAAGATTCCCATCTTTTTGGGACCGTTGCTTGTATGTTTATATGAAGGTAGACACAAAATTGCCATTGGGAGTTTTATTTTTTTGGTGAAACATTGAAATCTTGCAGACTGTTTAGTTTGCAGCAACAATCCATTTCATGCATTCCATAATTCCATTTCATGCATAGATATGAAATGCTGTATTGCTGTTATCGTCTTAATTCAGTTCATATTTATTTATTTATCTATATGTACATATGTAGGTGTACATACATGTCAAATCGCCAAGGTTTGAAATGATTATGTAATAGTTACATTAGCGGAAGTGATACTAATTTCACCTAGAATTCTGGATTTGACACGTGTAACATGTTCAGCTTATTGAACTATAAAATTCTAAGAATTGTCTATTTAGGAAATGTAATTCTGTACTGGTAAATATTGGACGCATTGTACATATATTATTCACATGTAGGAACCCTCTTTAACAACTCTTTTATGTCCAATTCTACTCACTTATTACCAATCATGAAAACAATTTATACGGTCACACCATTAATACCACAAAAGAAAAAGAAAGCACAAAGTCTGGTTGGGTAGTCATGCATGCATTTTGCATAATATGCAACCAGACAGCAATAAATTTGAGGTGATCATGGCAGCTCTGGTACAAAAGGGGCTTCTCGCCATAATGAGATAAGTGTATTTGAGTGGGTTTCCAAGCTCTAATCCCATCTCATTTTTGTGATGAGGATTTGGGATGAAGAGCAGCCTCGAACGTGCCCTAAGTGGCAGGAAAATGAGGAGAAAGTGCGATGATGATGATAATCATGCCACCACACGAGTAAAATTTGTCTTTTCCAAAATGTACAGGAACTTTGTTGGGATTTGAGTGCAAAACAGACGCGCAGTGTTCCGTAAAAGTATCCACAAGCGGATGTGTAAACGGTGTCTGCACTTGTGGAGATGGTCATTCGCCATACCGACGTCACACATGTCTTCCCCGTAAGAACCTTTGCAAATTTAAATCTAAAGATATTGAGTACATGCATATGTCAATAAATACCACAAAGAGCATTTCTGGATGCCTGTGTTGGTGACACACATGCCTTTTGTCCAAGCACTGGGATAATCTACCATTGTTTAATAATCGATCAAACAAATCCGCAGTTTAAACGGAAATGCATGAAATTTCATGCAAAGTGACACGATGACAATAACTCAATAGCTGTGATGGCTTAGCAAAGTCTATGCACAGACACTATGGACAAATATAATGCCCAATAAAGGAAGAAACAATGGTGCCTCCATAAAGTTGTTTATTACATTTGCAGCTGCAAAATTCGGCGAAATTTGTTTTGATCATGACCAGTGTGCCCTCGCGGATTCGGGAGCCGTGTGCAAATTCGTTGTACCTCGAGTTTTCGGGAGATGCCAATGTCAGTCCGGGATGAAACTGGATGCTTCCGGAACTAACAATGCGATGGTGTGAAGTGTAACCCTCCGATTTGGCTGAAATTTTGAAATTAGGTGGTCCATGTCAATACAACTAACGTTTCTTCAGCCAGTTTGTGCGATGGTTGGAGTTACTCAAAATATTTGAGGTCAAAGTTGAAAAAACGGCTAACTTTTTTCAGGCGGAGTGAGAAAACTCCACTTCCATTCTCTTCCCCTCGCATTGATTTTATTCAGGTTTCTCACTCACACATACGCCTTCATACACAAGCATAAGTAGTGATGCAAAATAACAAAAATAAAACATTATTATTACCGCTTAAATAGGAATTAACAGGCCTTATACTCGCGAAATTTAATTCATAATTGAATAAGTGAGCTTTTTACTTCTTTGTATTAAAAATTCAGACAAACATTAATTTATAAATTCATCAACGGGAAATAAACATGGAAAAACTTACTTTCCATTTCGAAAGCGTTGGTTATTCTGATTTCCAATTCATTTGAAAACAAAGACCAAGACGCATGTGCAATGAATAATTAATGTTTTTCTATCATAAATTAAATTAACATTGATGAAATCTATAATTTTTCGGAGTTAAAATCAATGCGAGGGGAAGAGAATGGAAGTGGAGTTTTCTCACTCCGCCTGAAAAAAGTTAGCCGTTTTTTCAACTTTGACCTCAAATATTTTGAGTAACTCCAACCATCGCACAAACTGGCTGAAGAAACGTTAGTTGTATTGACATGGACCACCTAATTTCAAAATTTCAGCCAAATCGGAGGGTTACACTTCACACCATCGCATTGTAAGTGTGTGCCAAGAGGGACAAGTACGTGATTTTAATTTGTTATTACATTTTAGTGTGAAATGTATTTTACAGCCCGATTAAAATTAATTTAAATCATAATGCTTAAATCCTACAATAATTCCATGTTTCAGTATGTAAATTGTGAGTAAAACGAGAAAAATGTGCCAAATAGTTAATTTGGTCAAAATTCATCGCTTCATTCATGTGTATGCATTAAGTATTAGGCAGAGAATGACATTTTGGTCTACCTCATTGGCGAGTGGGCGTAGCATATCGAAACCAGTAATCTGTGATTCAACGAATTTTGAGCGAAATCACCGAATAACTGAATGCGAATTCGTAGCAAATCTTGATTCAAATCTCTGATTATTACATACGCCCACTGGATACAGGGTCGAATATGTGGAATATTCGAACTCGTGATGCATATACTTCGATAGTTAGATAGTATCACTCCTGGCTCAATTAGTTCAATTTGGACGGAACAAATGTTTTTACGTTTCTCAATATGTTCATGGGATGGCTGGCTATGAGAGGCATTTAATTACTGATACTACTCTCTTCCAAGTTTATGCAAGTGTAGGCAGAGGAGAAAGAGGAGCTCTGTGAGAAAGACCGATTCATTTCTTCTTCTAATTGAATTAAAACTTTCTTTGCGTATGCTCCATTTGTCATGTTGGCGAAAGTAAATGTCACAGGTAATAAAATGAAGGATGATTTTAAAAAGGAGCTGTTGGTCATGATTAATGAATGGGTTAGTGCAAATGTGCGAGAACCACGATGGGAGAGACTCGCTTGAAACAAAGCTCATTTATTGTGCTGGATAAGAGCCGTGTAGATTACTTTGTGATCTTATCGTTATTAACACGGCCAAAAAGCTCTCTTAAGAATTCCAAGAAACCAGCAAAAAACAAGCACAAATAATGTGGCATATGGAGCATAAACCTTGTTTATGGCAGACAAGAATCTCTCATGGGCTGAAAAGGAACGCCCGCAATTTTTCCTCCTGAATGTAGAACAAACCAGGACACCGTATAACAAGCAAGGCTTGGCATGAATAAGCTTGAATTATTTTAGTGCGAGAAATTAGAATCAGAAGAAAGAGGGGTAGAATGGAAGTAGTTAAAAATTGAATAGGTTGAGAAAACTTTGCAATTACAGCACTATAAACCTGTAAACTATTTTCGCCATTATTTTCAGAAGTTGGACACCACTGTAAAGTGGACTCGGATTGTACATTCGAGAATGCATATTGTCAACGGAAATTGGACGGAAGCGCAGTATGTGCATGTGAAGTATCGTTCTCACCTTCTTCTGACGGGACACGGTGTCTACACACATACCGAGGGATACTTTCTCCTACCACATTAGGATACCCTTGTCACGCTAACCTTCAATGTCAGTTAGCTGACCCCAACTCACTATGCATTCTAGGAATTTGTGACTGTTCGTCCCAGAATAGTACAAAAAAGTGCAACGCGGTTCATACCGGATGTCACCCAAGCACGTTTCAAGTATGTATGAAATCAAGTCACATGCTTTCATAAAGAATGTAGAACTTTTCCTTTCGGGTTTATCTTTGCGTAGTGTCACTGCTTTGAGACATCATCATTCCTCATTAAAAATCTGTCTACTTAAAATTATTTCGCTTAGTAACTTTCGCTCGCTTGAACAATTTTGTTACTTATTTTCTTAATCAACACACTTTCATGTTCACAACAATAGAAATCAAGAATCAAAGATGGGATAAACAAGTTGTTTTGATCAAACCTAGAGAAAAATATTCTTCTACATCCTTCTATATGATTTTAGCATTAGTTTTATGGCATAGTAGAAGGTACAATATTTTGATATTTTCAAAATCCAAACCTTTACGAAATTAAGAATAACATGAAATCATGTCATTTTCTACGAGAAAATCAAAGTTAATTACCTCCGTAGTGCATAAGTACCGACTCGACTATGGTAGAATAGCAAGAAGAAAGTCAACAAGAATAATGACATGTTGATCAAGATGTTGTTCGTTAGTTGGACTAGAAAGTAAAACAAGATTGTCTGTTATTACCTGATTTCCTTATTTTGTATGCTAGAATAAATTTATTAACACGATAAATATTACCGTTGAAAGTTCTCATTAGTTTGAAGAATAGAAGAGTACATCACTTTCATGGAATACTACTTGTTATTAGTATTTAGATCACAAGAAAATAATGTAAACAAGTAACAGTTCCAATCCCTTTTACAAGTACTTATATGTAGGGTTGCCGCGGGTAGCAAAAATGCTACCCGTTACCCGACCCGCTAGCCGCAGCACAACTACCCGTACCCGTGGGGGTACCCGTTACCCGTTATGAAAATTGAGTTAAAACCTAACCAGCCTTTGGATTCAAAACTGAACTGGAGACTGCATTGCGATACGAAGGCGCGGAAAGCCACCGTGTCTCTAATGCAATGCAGACGGGCTATGGGCCCTACCTGGGGTCTTGGTCCAAAAGCAAGTCTTTGGATTTACAAGGCGGTGGTTCGGCCGGCCATGGAGTATGCTGCGATGGTCTGGCTGCCCGCGACCAATAAAAAATTCTGCGATCGGCTTCGGAGGGTACAGGGGCTTGCACTCCGCATGGTCACTGGTGCTCTTCCGACTACTCCGACTGCGGCCTTAGAAACCCTACTTGGTGTCCTTCCAATTCACCTAAGACTTCAGGAAGTGGCTCTTCAATCTTATTTAAGATTAAGGGTCCGTGGTAAATGGTTGAACTGGGTTGGATACGGTCGTGGTTTGAAGAAAATCACTCACATTGAGATGTGCTGTAGCCTGGCTCAGAATATTCCTGAGTTGGGCTTTCCTTATGACTATAAATCTGTTAAACCTCCCGAGGCTCGTAATTTTAAAATACGGGTCGCTTCTCGGGAGGAATGGCTAGATATGTACGACAACTACTTGGATCTACCTGGGCTCCTCTGTTTTACGGATGGGTCTAGGGGTAAGGGGGGATCCGGTGCAGCCTTCATAATTGGTGAAGGTGGTAACTTCATGGATGGGGCTAGTGGCGCTACACCTCTGGGTAAATATGCTACGGTCTTCCAGGCTGAACAGATTGGGGTTCTTTCGGCGTGTAACTACATGTCAGAAAATCCTAGTCTACACAAGGAAGTGAATATCTTTGTTGGCAATCGCAGTGTCCTTGATTCTCTTCTTAGTGAGCGGCTGGTTTCCTCCCTCACGGTTGAGCTTCATAGCGCGCTGCAGCAATTGAGCATTCACAAAGACATTACCTTACATTGGATCCCTTCCCATTGGGGTATATGGGGTAATGAAGACGTGGATAAGCTGGCTAAAGAGGCTGCTAGTATAACAACATGCGGTCCAGAGCCAGTTATCCCTGTCAACTCAGCAATTGGAAAATTTGCAATAAAACAATGGGCTCAGAATGATCATCGGGTCTATTGGTCCAACTTACTTAATTGTAAGTTCTCAAAGTTGGCCCTGCCAATACCTTACGAGGGTCTAAGTGGGAAATCACTTGGGCCCACTAGGGATGGTATGAGGCTAACAACTTTTGCCATCACAGGACACTGTAATTTGAATGGGCATCTGTATAAGATAGGTCTAGTTGAATCTTCCATCTGCGAAGAGTGCGGGGAAGGGGACGAGACAATGGCTCATATACTTACAGACTGTCCCGCTTACAGTGCCCTGAGATTTAGGACCTTCCTTCGTTCTACCTTAAGGGTGGAGGAAGTATGGGAGTATCCTCTCAAAGACGTGCTGGCCTTTTTAAGGTCTGGCAGATTCGCCAGCTTTGTAGCTGGGGAATCGAGAGAGGCTCCGACACAATAATCGCATGCGAGTGCAGTGAGGTGTCTGCAATAGGTCCAACTGGTGACCTGCGCAGCTGGATGTCTACCCCTATGGGTAGGAATCCTCCTCACATAATACATATACCATACATATAACCAGCCTTAAGAATAAATTCAATTTAATTAATTATTGATTAATTATTGGCTCATTTGGGTTGATATGTAGTTACTGCTATGCAAGTAACGCATGCCATACTTTGATATGGGAATGCCACTAGTTTTTTCTGAAACTAAACCTTTTGGCTTACAATGGAACGTTTTTCAAACTACATCGGGATTTCTTAGCGAATTATATCAAAAATATTAAGCCAAAAATTAGGAATTATCAATGATCTTTCCCTTGAATAGCCCGTTTAAAGAAAACTATTGGGGGCAGAGTTCAAAGTCCACCATGGTTTCCGTCCAGTGGAGGAAAAAGATGCAGAACATTTACTTAGAAATTTAGCTTTGCCGTGTATATTTTTCTTCAAAGTGGACATTCAACGCAAAGTATCACGCGATTCCTAATTTTTGGCTTGACTTTTTAATATACTCGCTGGACAATCTTGGTGTAGCTTGAAAAAAGGTTCAATCTAAATACAGTTTGATTTTTTGAAATTTTGATATATGTAAATGAAGTTTTCATTACAAAATTGTTTACAAATAACATTATTGCTTTCAATCCGATTCAGGTTTTTCACCTGAATTACAAATTAAAATATAAATTTGTACAGTACAAATTAAAATCTTATCAGTCTTAGTCTTACACACAAATACAAGTCAAATTATTACTCATATTTTAGAGCAGTCAAATTATGTTTGAGAAACAATAATTTTTCCGCATTTTCGGGATGTGAAAAGTATTTGAGATTGCCGTAGGCTTCTGTTGGTTCCGAAAAGACACGCTCGCTATAAACTCTAGCTGCTGTAAAATGACATTTTGAAATGGATAAATAATAAATTGACGCTTTTGTTGGGAAATGGGCTAACTTGTTGCTAACTTTCTTTGTGAACTGATTTATGTCGAAAATTAAATAAAAACAGAACTACCCGTTACCCGTGCGGGTAGCTCTCGCTACCCGCAGATAACGGGTACCCGCAAGAATCGTGCGGGTATGCGGGTAACGGGTACCCGACCCGTTACCCGCGGCAACCCTACTTATATGTATACTGCATACATATGCATGCAGTATGCCATTCAAACTAATTATATGTACCAGCTACACAGTTATCTTGCACATTATCCTTTGCGAACTAATAAATGCAGCAAATCAACATCATCAATTAGACTGAACGAAGTAGTTTATATTTGAGACTTCGTTACTACATAAGTATGATTGACGTTTTAATTATTTATTGATGAAGTTGTTGTCACAAAATGAAGGTAGTCAAAGTAAACACGACTGTATTAATTCAATATTTGCATTATGAGCTGACTACAAATCTCATTCTACATACTGAAACTACAAATATGTATCCAAGTCTATGGGAAATACAAATGTACATTCAGAATATTCATTTTTTGCTGTAAATTATAAAATTGTATTCGCAGAGAATGGGTTTATATGTTCCATAACTTCATTTGGAAAAATCTAAACGACCATAAGTGCCCCTATCATACATAGGGAAATACATATGTTCATTCATATGTATACGTATGTACATACTCGTACATGCATACTTATTTAACCTTTCGCATTTGAAGTGACACTGATTATTTAAAAAATAGAAAATCTGTACAAATGATTGATTAATACAAGTAATACTTGTCTTTGTGCATTGCAGTGCGTGGGGCAAGGAAAATGTGGTAATTACACTAGTCACTATATAATGACTAGCATAATGTATATATGTATATGCACATAAACTAATATATCTTATTGTTTGAGAATTATAGTTTCTTGGTATTTTGTTTGCGATGGAAAAATTGACTGTCCAGGTATTGTTTTTATTTGCTTCAAGGGTTTGATAAGGAACCTTCACATGCATTTACTTTTTCAGATGGGTCGGACGAAATCTGCAACGTATCGGAACAATGCCCAAAACAGACTTTTCAGTGCAAAACCAATAGTGATGGATTGGAGAAAGATAAAAATGAAACTATGTTGCAGAACAACCGTACCAAATGTATTTCTCGTTCAAAGCTATGTGATGGAGTCGCAGATTGTAAGTGATGTTATTGTACAGTTATCAAAACTACATATGCAAGAGTCCTCTAAAGTTAGCCAAATTCTATGGAAGGCAACCGATATTTCCAACAAACGGAGTCTAGAAACATGAAATCATAATGTGTTATAAAAATGCTCAATTTAAAATGTTATCCCATTGTGAGGCTACATAAAAATACCGTCCTCAGACCCAACAAAAATTCTGACAAGCTCGAGTATCGATTTAATCAAATGCATTTTATAAATGTCTCAACTTTTACACTGCTATTTTAAACGTGATAACGTTTAATACTTTTGCGGAATACGCATAGTCTACGAGGTAACTTTGCTAAATTCAAAATATAAAATGCTATTTTTTGGATTATAATTAAACGTAAATGTGAGATTATAATGAAATCTCTAAAGCCCAATGCAATTTTCTCACTTCCATTGAACCGAAAAATCTAAAGGTATTTTCATCTGAAGTGAATGAAAATTGTTGATGGCGTGAAATTTAGTTTTATCTTCCATAGCACAACTCGGCCAAAAGATATACACGTGAAAATAGGGTATCAGTTTCGGAAACTATTTATGGAAACTTTCTGTGACAATCCAATTACATGATGCAGAAAACTTAGCTTATATAGGAAATTGAGACTTGCTGTACAAACTTTGATGGCTTTAGCTCCTAGCCTTATCGGATAAGAATTGTATAATAATTTTAAAAGTTTTAAATTTATGAGAAATATAAGAACTTCTTTGGCTACGAATTTTTACCGTTTATCTTTTCGTGCATTCAGGTGACGAGGGGGAAGATGAAGAAGGTTGTTCCGGGAGAGAAAGGTGCCCTCAAGGCACTTTCCAGTGTGCCACGACCAAGGAATGTCTGCCAGAGCATCATTTCTGCAATTCTATTGCAGATTGCAAAGACCTTTCTGATGAAAATGAACAAAAATGCAAATTAGAATTTCATCCATTCATTCATCCCGAATTTTGCCCATTTCGATGTTCCAATGGTCTTTGTCGATCTTCTGCTATCGTCTGTAGCGGGGTTAATGGTTGTGGAGACTTTTCAGATGAAAAAGCGTGCTCAGTATGCAGTAAGAGAAAAATGCACTTTTTCGTCTCGACACAAAACTTTTTAAACGGTAATCGATACTTTTCCTTAATGTATTGTTAATTACTCCTTTAGGATGTCCAAGACGAACGACATGACAAAAAAATGGAAACGAGTAGCACCAGTTAATCCATCCATCCTTGGACTTTCCGATCCCATGCCCAGGTTGGGAATTTATTGAGGATGGATTCATCATGACGTACTCGAGTGTTTACTGGGATTTAGCAATTGTGCATTTATGTATGTATTTATGTATGTAGCAATTGAAGTCAAGTTCAATTTATATTTTGATAAAAATATACATTTACTCTATCGTATTTATTTAGTATTTCATAGTTATTTTTACGCTATTCTGTAATGAAAGCCCGAGCTTGCCGTACAATGGAAACCTGTGATTTTGTCGCTATGTAATGCTCCTCCATCATTAGTAATAGGATTGATGGATAGTATGCCATTACTTTGAATAAATTGATTTATATGTGTTTCTAGTAAATGAACAGTAACACAAGGATTCACAATTTCCGTTACCAGGAAATTACTTTGCAGCTGAGTAAGTGAGTTTATTTGTAAATACAACATAATTGATATTTGTGTACGCACATATGAACAAATCAATGGCAAAAAGAACAAAAAGTCGCTGATCTAATACAAAGATGTGCGTTGTATTCTGGTTCTGGAACTGACAAATGACTATTTTGTTCATTGCCGACAAATCTCCTTCAAATTCGATTTTCACAATAAAAAGCAGTTGCTTTTGCCAATTTTTGTTAAACTATTTGAAACATTTGGCTGATACGTGGTTTTTAAATGATCATGAAATATCTAATTTATCCAATTCGAGAGACAAAGTTTTATTTTGCATACTTTCGCCAAATGTACATGTATTCACATAAATAAATAAATATATCACAACACGACCTAATTACAATCATAATCATATAAATCTCACAAAAACTGGAATAGCTAAGCTCAAAATGTTGGCTAAAAACTTGAAAATATGGACAAGAAATACTTCTGAATATGTACATAGCTCAAGGTAGTGTTTCAAATAATTAGATGGAAATCCCAGTATAGAAGCTGAATCAAAATAAAAAGTACTCATTGTGATTGTTCCAATTTATGCTCAGCAATCATGTATTTGTAATTGAATTGTGAGAACAGCAAATCCTTTTCACTTATAAAGTAATGATTGCAACATATTTACTAATATCTCTCACAGTCAGGATTTTTACGTTTGAAAGTGATTTATCTAAACGATGATCATAATGAATCTACTAATCATGAGAACCGCAGTGCTTTCCTGAGTCCCAAGTTAGTAAGTACTTATGGCTAAGAGTATGTAATATTATGTGTGTTCATCAATTATTAATTTAACATGGTCGATTTCAGGAAGACACAGCAAAAACGGTTGTTCTCGTCTGGGTGAGTGTGAGTGAGGTCAGATTGCGCTTGGTGAAATTATAGCGAGGTAAATCTCAAGGAGAACAACTTTTTCGGGTCATGCTGGAAGATTACACGTATTCGCTCATTAGTTTGCACTTAATTCTTTATACTGATATCTCAATGATATAGGATTTAAACGAGTCGTAAAATTCTAAAGAAAAAATCAGTTTTTCATTATACATGTTTAGACAGACGAGGAGTTATTCTTGTGCCCAGACACCGGGTCACCATTTTTATGTATTTATGCCATTACTATTATGTTTTGAACATGTACATACATAAATAAGTGCATGTAATGGCAACAAGCATTTAGGCAAATCTGTAATAATCACAAAGTCGGTACCAGCGACCACAAGAGTTCACACAAAAGCAGAGTTTATGTATCTCAGGGAAACATGGTAGCCGTGTAGACGAGGCACTGTCATGAATAATGATGACCCAGGCGTTGAGTATGATCAAAGTTTTTTGTGTTGATTCTGGTCATGGTTCTCATACACTGGACTCACATAATGTGCGAATTCGAATGTATGTGGTTTACGAAGAATAAAGAGATGAAAGCAGATTAATAATACCAAGCCAGCTTCAGTTTTGCTTGAGAGTTCGAATAAATACCTCTCCAAGGAGTCATTTGAGTAAATCACAGTAATTTTATTCCCTCATTGATCACGAGAACCCAAGAAAATGCTGCTCTCGTTCAAGCAAATTAGAGTTATTATTATTATGGAGAAGCTCGGCTGACTTTCAACGCTGAGCGGAGCCAGACGAGATTCGAGCTGATTCGAATCGCAAAAAGTACAAAAAAATCAAGACTTGGTGTAGTTGCACTTAAGTTCCGTGGGATTGTAAAGTTACATGAAAACCATAATATTTTATACTGTACATAAAGCAAACCAACCACACATTTTCTGAAACATTTTTATCATTTACTACTTACTTCTCAATACAAACTAATTTTACTGGTGTTTTTTACATGGACAAACTAAAGCCTAAGCGTAAAAATTTTGTTTTGAACATAAAACAGTTGTGGTGTAAAGGTGCGGATAGATGAAAGGCGTAACGACCTTCATCGTATAAATAATTCCAGTAAATAATTAACAATTCAAATACGTCGTTGAAGTGTAGGAGTGCATAAAATACCCAAAATATTACCAATACGAACAGATGTGGCTAATTAATTATGAATTATAAATTATAGACAATAATAATAAATCTCCACCCAGTAGCATCATATAGTTACCTTCGTCATTATTGACCACATAATAAATTATCCTGAAAAATAGGTTTGACTTTAGTCCAACTTGGGTTCGATTTCGATTTTAGACAGCATATGAAAAGCCTTGCTTTGCATACAAAGTAACTTACATCAGTCAACCTGAAACTTCTTTTCAGTGCTAAAATACTTGCGTCAGTTCTTTCGGCAAGCAATTTCATCAAGATCTTTCAATTAATCCTTTCATCATCATAAAATATATCACCCACATTCTACAAACTTTGACGACTCTACGACTGGGAGCTAGTTTAAATCAACAAAGTTTTATATACCTCCCTACATATACATGCATAAGTGCATACATACACATGTACCTATACATATGCTTTCTGCATAGCAGTTAAATTATCCTTGAGATTGACGCCAGGTTCTGCCTGTGGTTTTATTACAACTTTCAATCAGGATTAAGTAAGCTCAAGGAATTCGATTTGTGTATACGCAGCGATTTAGTCTTTCAATAAAATGAAGTCAGTGAGAATTCAGCAGTAGATATTCTTTAAGATTGCTTGTATTGTGCTACATACATTTTTTTAAGAAAAGGGAATTTGTTATCCACAAAGATACAGAGTTCAATCCATTTAAGGCAAATTTTAAACTTGATCAGGTGGGTTTTCAACTGTGTCAATCTTCTCATCCACAACAAAACTGTCAGTGAAGAAGGGTGTAATTTTTACCACGGAGCTGGAAACATTGAGCATCACAGTGCAGCATGACCAACAACACGATTTTGTCGTTCGTGGACGAGACCATGTTATTCTTGTGTTGGGAAAGTTCTCAAATGCGCAACATCCAGGGAGAAAGCTTTCACCGTAAGAACTCCTATGGCCACTGACTCGAGCTGATCGGGGCAATGCAAGCATAGAAGTTTTCCCTTCTCATCAGCACAGCTCAGTTGATGGCTGACGCTAGAGAGAAGAAAGTGAAACACTTTGGATCTGAAATCGCATTTTATGTGCGTTTCGTCGTCTCATCATTCGCCTCCTCAATCGTCCAGCTCACTGTTTGTGTCTATGTATGTGCTGGTGGAAAATCTGAGAAAACCTTTCTTTGACAGTCTGACTGCTTGTCTAATCCACGCCTACAAAGTATTTCTTTAACTGGTTCAAAATGTCACAGAATCGAGGTCGAAAACCAAAATACACATGTAAAAAGTGCTAAACTAAAGTTGTGCAGTCGTATTCTGTTTAAGCAATAGTATAAAAAAAGTGACTGGAACTGGAACTAAGACGTATTTAATAACTAAACTTTAAGATTCATAAGCACTCGACACATGCACACGTATACATATACACATACATACAAGCTATGACATGCCTGTCATACTCATCCTTGACATTATCGTGGGTCATGTAGCCTCACGTTTACAACGACGTTTGTGAATAAGTGTAGGCAAGATAAGATATAAATAAATACATACATACAGATATTTAGCAAAACATAGTGCTCAGTAGTTCCATGAAACATTAATATAATGTCCTAAAATGAATCTTGTGGAACAGAAATTGGCATTTTAAGAATCTGGATGTTTCCCTGAATGTATTCCAATGAATTTAAATGATACCAACTAAGCGCTGTTTTGGTTGAAAACGTTGTCCTCTTTATCAAAGTTATTGAAACTTAGCTTGGCAGCGGAAACCGTAAATAAGCAGAGTGAGTGAGTTACCGGGATCCAGCTATAATGCAGATTGAGATCATTGGAACATTTCTGTCACACTATGCGCAAGTATCTGAGCTGCTCTCAACAAACATTTACGAGCGTTTTCACATTAAGTCTGTAAAGTCTGTGGGTGGTGGTGCTCATTTTCTGGTTATTTCTATTTACAAATGAAGACATACATACGTACATAAGTGGGCTCAGATAAGACTTTGAGGAAACTGCGTGCGTTTTCTGTCTGCCACGACGAGGATAACTTTGAGTTAAGGATAACAATTACTAATGCAACGCTAATTGAGCCACACATACACACAGAGAGACGCAAAAGCAACTACGATGGAAGTCCATAACAGATCTTCATTGTTTGATACGGCTGAATTAGCCAATGTTCACAATAAATTTGATTACTTCGATCTCGCCTCTCCATTACACGAGGACAACTTTAGCCTAACTCCAAATCTCTCTTTGGTGAACACTACGCTTACACCCGCATCTCCGAGAGACGAGTTTCTCGCGAAAATTGAGCAATCTGTTCTCGCCATAATTTTCATTCTCACCATCGTCGGGAATTTTCTCGTTTTGATGGGAATCTATTTTAGAAAGCAAAAGATGACACGAATGTATTATTTCATCGCCCATTTAGCAAGTAATTATGGCAAAATAAAACCATTTTTAAGCAAAAAGTTAATTTTGTGATGTTTAGACTAGAGTCCAATTTCAAATCGAAGCTGTATACTTAAATTCAGCAGAAGATACTAAAGATATTAAAAATTTTGCTATCTTCGCAGTTGCAGACCTGACCACGGCGTTCTTTCAAGTTTTGACGCAATTAGCGTGGGAGGTGACATATCGTTTTCAGGTAAGGAGAATAGTTGTATCTGATAATGATCATCAATAATTATTGATGATAAATTAAAAGGGGGGGCCGTTTTGGTGCAAGTTCGTCAAATACATGCAAATCCTTGGGCCATATTCAAGTTCGTATATCCTGGTCATGACTGCCCTTGACAGGTACTTTTTTACTACTCATTGTCCTTTCAAAATAAATATACTGATATGCATGCATGATGAAAAGGTATCAAGCTATATGCTTCCCGTTGAGTAACTGTTCGTGGACAGCTCGAAGATCTAAACTGATGTTGGGGTCTGCATGGTTCCTCTCTTTCGCCTGTTGTCTACCCCAGCTCTACATTTTCTCATACCAAGAAATCTCTGAGAATGTGTACGATTGCTGGGCCACCTTTCACCCAGGATGGGGCGAAAAGGCTTATATTACGTGGTACACTGTAAGTAACTCTACTATATTCCTTTCTCCCAGGTTTTTGGCATCAGCCAGTAAGATATTCTTTTAATAATTCCATAGGTTTCCGTCTTCATTATCCCCCTCATAATTCTGATATTTGCTTACTCATGCATTACAAGAGTCATTTGGCTCAACTTTACCATGAAGAATAATGCTTTCATTCAAGAACAGCGAATGAGCAGCAGAACCAGGGAAGATTCTGATGAGGTAGATGAACATCAGTTTGACCAAAGCATTGAAGAGAACGACAGCGTTTTCCATGAAAATTGTAAAAATTCAGAGAAAACACAGAATGACAGAAAATTGTTAGCCGCCAAAGCTGGAGGAGTAATCGGCGGTAACTCCCAAAGGCCTAAAAATCTTGAGGTATGTTGTATGACATGTTGTATGATTTTATGAAATATTTGAGATACACAAAAAGAACAACACACTGATAATTTTAGTTTTTAATTTCTTCTATTAACCGCATAAAATATGACACATTTTTTAACAAAAGGCTATCTATAAGATGCTTTGCACCACCTAATGTTACATTAATCAATAATCACAACTATCTGGAGATCGATAAAGCTAAGTTATCTTTTAAACAGGTAAGTTAATTTATGACTGATTAGGTTGGTTTCGAATATCAAGTAAAGCAGGTCGTTTTGATGACGAAGGCATATCATCGAGTTCTCGTAATGACAACCTGTGAATGACAATATATTTACATTAGTTGACAAATCAGCATACAAATATTTAAGTAATCATCACCTTTTAGCTGACATATCTCGAATAGGGGTCTTCTTTTCAGTTTTCCTTCGATCTTCACAACCTTTTTTGACATGTTGTTTCATGTACCATTGAGTTGCAAACTTTTTGTTACACAAATCACAACCATAACGTTTGACACCATCATGCTTATCCTCATGACTAAAAAATTATTTCATCATTATATATTTGTTGTACTTATAATGCAAAAATTTATACTATTTTACTCTTTCAAATCCCGAGCATAAATTGTAACAAAAACACAATCCTTTCGTGGACAGTATAGTCTTCGGCGAGTCGATTTTGCCACGTAAGGAGGGATTTTTCCTACTACTTTCTTTTTAGTAGACATAGGCAGAGGAATTTCTTCATTTTTTACAAGTTTCCTTACTTTTTCAATTTCATTCCTGTTGACAATTAATTTTTGGATTAACTAAAACTATCATCAACAATATGCTGTGGCGAATACTCACATTATTATACGGTCCAGCTTATCACGAGTACCATTAGCTTCGATGAATATTTCACCGTTTTCTGGCCTGAGGGAACCTTTGTCGTCTCCTTTCAACCGTCTAGCACGATGACGGATTTGTATCCCTGTGAAAGCATCTGCCGAATACAAACCCACCCGGAAAATATTTTCTATCTCCGCAGTACAACCCTTGGTAATGTTGTCCCTATTTGAATTATATAAATATTAATTGATTACTGAATGCTTAATTATGAACATATACGTAGATTATTATAACAAACTTACTCATATGAACAACCGTTTGCTAGTAATCTCTTTTTCGGCCCTGGAGCTTGTGCAGTTTTTCTTCTTCGTTGACATATTTTCACATTTCGGTTCGTATCTTCATCGCTTCTCAAAGCAGTGTATCCAGCTCTCTCTAGTGAGAAATCTCTCTTCACTTTATTAGAGTCAGTCCATATTTGATAAAACAATTGGTGAATTTCATACACATCACCTACACACAAAGATAATAATTATTATTTTAATTACGACTCTTAAAGTTAACAATACTTACGTTCAAGAAACTCTGTTGTCCGAGTTGTAGCCAAATTTGTTGAAGGATCTAGGTAAAACACCTCACCTCCGACTACATCCTGCAAATTTAAACGATTTCCGTTCATCTTGAATTATTATTTAGATAATGGACACAGAGGATAATCTTTAGTGCCAGTCAGCCACGAGCAAAACAACAAATTTTACCATTCCCGCATATTACTTATGGTTTGGGGTATGATAAAATACAATAGTATATACTGGTCCTGATAGCTCTGGAATGCTCTTTTAGTTATTTGTTAAGATGAAAACATATGGAGAATGTCGTATTAATATATTTTTAAATCTTGATTTCTTGAGGTTTCTTGGCATCATAGTAAATCTGGATCTAGCACAACCAAAACGTCAACGTCCCCCATTCTGGGTTCACCCGACAACGACTCACAAGGGAAAGAGGTTCAGAATTCTTCATCTCAAAATACTGAGACTGGGGGGCAAAGTACAGCGAACAACTGGAATCCGTCTGGCGTTCCACATGAGAGTCATCCCCATTCAATGGTTCACTTCCAACAGACGACACCTCCTGATTCTGCTGACATGTCCTTAGCACAGCAGATGACGAGTTCCAACTCATCGGGCTCTAGTACCACGATTACAAAGAAAAAGCGCCACACATGGCGAAGTGTATCAATGTCGTCCACAACAGAGTCCGTATTCAGCAGTAAGAAAGGTCGCAAGAAGCAAGTTGTGAATGGGGCTTCCAACCAACAGAATTCATCTTTACTACCTCCTCCAAATGTGAAAGGTCATCAGAAAGTGATCAAGAATCCGTCGCGAACGTACTCAGTGCGGTCTTCAGCGTTGAGCAACATGAGCCAGCCTCGCACGCACTCGGTACGTGCCATAAGCCGGGCGAAAATCAAGACAATTAAACTGACCATTACTGTCATTTGCTGCTATATAGTTTGCTCTACTCCATTTATGGCCGTACGTGAAATAAGAACCTTCTTTTTTAACTTTCAATTAATTTTGCTTTTAACCCGGGGACTCTCGAACTCTAGTGAAAAGTCTTCAAAAGTCTGATGACAAAACAAATACTGAAATTTATTTTCTTAGGAATGGATAAAATAGATTTTTAGCGAGAAGAGTGGATGAACATAACGTTTTATTGTTTGTTATCACTTAGTAAATGAAACTCATGCTATCAAACTCAATGATAACTTGTTTTTCAGGCGCTTCTCTGGTCTGCATTTGATCCTTATGCGAAAGAACACCCCTTCTTCTATGGTAAGACAAATAAGTAATACAGTAATTGACAGACTTTCTATATATAATCCAACAATGGTTATAAGTAAGTTTTGATAAGCCATAAGCTGCCAGCGGGCCAAGCCAATAAGCCATATAATATACACACAAAAGCAAAACAGGTCTTGTCGTCTATGAAATTAAAAATATATCAAAGACTACAGAGGAGGGACTGGTTTTTAGTAATACTCCTTTCTGAGGAGCTTAGGCTTTTCACTGATGACTGAGCGTTTCGGCTGTTCTTTCAATGTTCTGATCATTTTGACCTGTCCTCACTTACCTTTCCATTCACTTAATTCTTCTCATATTTCAGAGCTGGGGTGTGGCTTGAAAAAGGATAAGTTCCAGGCGACAGACATTATTACATAAAACTTGATAAAATATCGTGGGCCCTGCCCCTTACTCGAGCGGAGTATCTCACTACTATTTATAATACAATGCGGGACCTAATTGAGGATGAGTGCATGTGGTTAGAAAGCTAGAATTTTCCATTGTGTCACCACTGTCACTGACAAGGGACACTCACGACCTGTCGTTTGAGTCCAGGGTACCCACCATGTTTTTTAGATTCTACTAGGACCCCAGATAAAGGATTCATTCATATTTCCGTGTAAAACTCATATTTGGCGCCATGGCGTGGCGCCAAACTTAAAAATTTGCATTTTCGCCCAATTTCAAACCCCCATAACTTTTGCAGTTTATGTCGGATTTTCAAAATTTTATGCTTAAAATGATCACAAAAGTCGAAATTTTTGAGAAAAAAATAAAAATAAAAAATTTCTAATTTTTGGAATGTTTTTAGCATTTTTTCGACGAGCCCCTATTTTTAAGAAAATAACGAAATTTTGCGAAAAGTTAAAAGTAATAATTTTGGAAAAAATTTCATGGGATAAGAAAGTTGAACTCCTTGTCATGATTTTGCCAAATATTTTGAAAATCCATCCAGGATTTTAAAAGTTATGGCGGTTTCAAAAATAAAAACATTCAAATTTGGCGAATTTGGCGCCACGGCACGACGCCAAATATGAGTTTTACACGGAAATATGAATGAATCCTTCATCTGGGGTCCAAGTAGATTCTAAAAAACATAGTGGGTACCCTGGACTCAAACGACAGGTCGTGAGTGTCCCTTGTGAGACTAATTTGTTCTTGATGTGAAACCTATGCTAAATATTTAAATTAAGTTAACTGCCTCTCATCACTAAAAATTCAAGCCATTATTCACACGTTTAAAATTAAAAAAATTAATGGAGCATATGTATGATAGTGCGTCATATAAAATGCAGCACTAACAAAGCCGGCAGTCAACTGATTATAGATTACAACAAAAGAACGTATGTGGCTAAATTTATAATTTCTTATAGAATTGACAAAAATTACAAAATAATTAAATATTTAGAGAGAGTCTTCCTTTTCACATTGTTCCAAAACCCACTGAGAATTTTCCATTGTGAAGGATGTTACTTTGAGTGTATACTCCATTGCTTAATATATTTAAGCACCTGGTTCATTTGGTTCACTTTTTCATACAACGTACCTACGTACGTACGTATATACATAAATGCTCTATAGTTGTGATGAATTATGACAAACTGATCTTCTTTCTTTGTTTCCTACACTTCTCAACTCCGCCGTTCTACTTCTTGTGATATATTTCAGTTGTAATTTTTGGCCAGGGAAGTTGTGAGCGGAGGAAGGATGAGATGAGAGAGAGGCCGGAGAGATCGAGTGACTAACGAATTTTCCAAGTTTACTTTTACTCAACATTGCTTGAGTTTACTCTGTCTCATGATTTATGGCAAAAATATCGCTTGAGTGAGGCGACATCGCATCAACTATTACATACACTGCTCCCATTTAGTCTCTAATGATAAATGAAAGAATCGAGCCAGATCGTGTACTTCATTTTAACAGAAATTCACTCTCGAGGCGAACAAGTGAAAGCCTATCATCATCGCAAATAATACTTTGTTTCACGACAGGCTCCATTTTCATAACACGTCGGTTTGACCAGCACTTTCCCTCTTCATATGAAAGCACCCTCACTTTCCTGAAAGAATTGTTGTCATGAGGTTGACAAACCATAATCCATGGAGGTGGTCCAAAGCCTCGTTCATTTAGGTGCATTAAAAAACCGTCCGACGCAACGGTGGCTACATATATATGTACATAACATGCTTCCCTTTATTACTTTCTTTATCAAACAAATATAAACACTGCGGCAACACGTTTTCAGGATCGTGATACTTGACTGAAAAGTTTGCTGTTACTTTAAAATTAATTTGCCTTTGTTATTTAATACGTTGTACGCCTTTTTATGTGATAATATACATACCTATTTCTGCAAATATTAGCGATTTATGATATGCGCATATGAAATGGTTTTCGTTATTAAATTCAACGCTCATCAAGATATAAGTTAGATTGAAATGTATACTGGAGTTTGTTGCACTGGCATATTTTACTCAAACCCCATTATCAGTTTATTTTTGTCAAATATATATGATATATGATGCTTTGATATACATCACTCGCTTAATGCGGTATACAGACACACTCGATATATGACCCAACTGATTAATTGCTTCGCAGTGTCAGTCTAATTCCAACATGACATATATGCATACATACATTACATTTTATGTAATAGCATAATGGAGACTTCCTTATTATTAAAAGAAACACTAGACCCTCGTCATAAGACTATTCGTATAGTCTGTCTCAAAATGAAGAGATAGTTTTGGAAAATTCTACTATTTCTTAATAGCTTGGTCCTGGGGCCCAAAGTTTTATTATAATATAGCTCAGGTATTGCTACAAGTTCATGCCAAGTTTCATTGAGATTTGACTTAAATCAAGAAATTTATATGCAATCTTACAAAATTAGTCAAAATCGACTGTCTCAAAAGTAAGAGATATGAAATTTAAACATTTTATAAGTTAATTTTAAGGGAGCCAGTACCCTTGAAACTTATTCTAGTATTTGGTAAAACCTTTCTTAGCTAGAATTAACGCGAATATTCGTCGCTTCATTGAGTTATTGAAGTGCTGAAGGGTCTCCAGCAGGATATTTGCCCATCCGCCATGCATCATTTGCTCCAATCCCTTTTTGGTTCGAAATTGACGCCCACCCGACGCGAAGAAGTTGGCCCAAAAATTCTTCATGGGATTTAGGTCAGGACTGCTAGCCGGCTAAGCCAAGTTCCCGGCATTTTTCCTGGCAAAGAAGTCCATGATTAAACGGGAAGTATGAATTTGGGCGTTGTGATTCTGAATATCCCACCTTATCCGCAAAATTCTGGGTCCATAGCTGACCAGATTTGACTGGCGTTATCCCTGATAACCTTGTGAATCTGTTCTGGGTGTACTCGTGCTATTCCGGTCTTTCCACGATATCCAAAACCTCCCACAATATTACCAAATTTTCCCTTAAAAATTACAAATTCAATTTAAATTTGTGGTTCATATTTTTGGACAAATATTTTTATGCAGAATATTTTTTTAGTCCCATGCATAACCTACATTCTTGTCTAAAAAATACCCCATACCAAAATATGTGTTAACAAATGTGCACCATATTTAAATTAAGTTTGTAATTTTTAAGGGGTAATTTTGTAATAATATGGGAGGATTTGGATATCATGGAAAGACCGAAATAGCACCGATTACACACAGAATAGGTTCACGAGGTTATCAGAGAGTACGCCAGTCAAATCTAGTCAGTTAGGGACCCAGAATTTTGCGGATAAGGTGGGATATTCGGAATCACAACGCCCAAATTCATACTTCCCGTTTAATCATGGACTTCTTTGCCAGGAAAAATGCCGGGAACTTGGCTTAGCCGGCTAGCAGTCCTGACCTAAATCCCATGAAGAATTTTTGGGCCAACTTCTCGCGTCGGGTGGGCGTCAATTTCGAACCAAAAAGGAATTGGAGCAAATGATGCATGGCGGATGGGAAAATATCCCGCTGGAGACCCTTCAGCACTTCAATGACTCCATGAAGCGATGAATATTCGCGTCAATTTTAGCTAGGAAAGGTTTTACCGAATACTAGAATAAGTTTTAAAGGTAGTTAGCCCCTTCAAATTAACTTATAAACTAATTAAATTTCATAAAAATGCCCTATCTCTTACTTTTGAGACAGTCGAATTTGACTAATTTTTTAAGATTGCAGATAAAGTTCTTGATTTAAGTCAAATGTAAATGAAACTCGGCATGAACTTGTAGCAATACCTGAGCTATAATATAATAAAACTTTGGGCTCCAGGGCCAAGCTATTAAGAAATAGTAGAATTTTATAAAACTATCTCTTCATTTTGAGACAGAGCGTAAAGTAGTAATGTTTTTTCCAACCTACATAAGAAACTAAATGCTTTTTTGTATTTTGTTTAATTTCAGGACCAACCTTTACTATATTGACTTTGTTAGCGTCCTTAAATAGCTGTAAGTGTTGTGTCAACGATTCCTTGAGCCGAAAATAATTATCATCTTACTGTTTTTAGGCGCCAATGCCTTCATAGTTCTCTTCTTCAATCCCAACTTGATTCAAAGTTTTGTGAAGGGTACGTTTGGTCGTGTATGTCACCACTTTGGTCAACACCCCTCATCACTTATTGGCTCCCAAAGAAAACAAGTCTTCAACAATAGGAAACCCGGTACCGCCAACCTGAGCCAAAGACCAAACACATCTGTCACCGGACTTTCTCCCCTCATGAACCGCTCTTCTCCTCCCAAAGAATACGGAAACAATCGATTCAATGGTGGTCAAGATGGGATGGAGTTGATTCCATCAGCAACGGAAGAAGCAGGAAACGTCGAAAAAGTCGTCGCTGTTGTCCCATTGAGATCGTCCATGTCCTCACGAAATGGAAATAATTATCCTCGGGGCGGAGATAGTGAAGCTGCTCCCGTTGAGACGTCCTTTATTGGCATCTAAATGACCAAACTTCTCAATGTGGTCAAAAGGGTCACAGAGTGAGTACGAGTGTGTATCTAACTGCACTTGCTGCTTTTCTCAGCTCGGGTATTCCATTGAACCAGATAATGTCTCAAGCTGAGGAGAAAGTGGGATGAAACCGATTTGTTTGATTAACTCGGGGATAGCAGCCACTGCGAATTCTGGAGAATGTGTCAATTTCCATGTCCTAGTTTCTGTTGTGGGTGGGCAGCTGGCGACCAGTCGTGAGTTTGTTAATCAGTAAATATGTCATGAATTGATTGTTCTCTTGCGTGTTCTCCAACAGCGTTTGCACACAGGCTTTTTGTTATAATTTGTTCATCACCTCTGAGAGTAAATGTTTTACAAGCTACGACCAGAAAGGTCTTTTTTCACCACTCTAATAATTTTTTATACAAACACAATCGTCTTCATCATGCACCTTCATGGAGGATTTGTTTTAAGGTTAAACCCTTCATTCATTGATTTTGTGTCCCTGTAGGCCTATAAACAAGCATTTAGCCGTAATTGTCTTTTTATTCAACAACAGAAAACCTGTCACGACATGAGCCCTGAGATAAAACCATGAAATATCTGTTTGCATTCTTGAAGAATTATTTATTTATGTGTATATATGTATGTATACATACATAGCTCCTCACTTGCTCCGATATCCCCTTCAACTCATATTTATTAGAAAGGAGCAGACTTTCTAATGCACGGTTGAAGAGCCCTTGGCATTTGTGCAATTCGTGTTTTAGTGGTTGTGAAAAATTTATATTATACGTAGATAAATCTAATTATACATAATGGACCATGTGTTGTGTACACACTTAAAATGACTGAAAGGCTTAAAAGATATGAAGATGACGTTGGCTTGACAAGAGTTTTTGCATATTTTATGAGTCGACGCTTAAAACTTACTCCCATTTCCCAGGCTGAGAATTCTCCAAATCCTGGTCGTGCTAAATTCCAATGTCAAGGCTCCTTCCTTAGTTTCGCATGTGGTAAAGAGATGCATGGGTCATTTCACTTACGTTTCAATGCCAACTTGCAGTATTTGAAAATTATTCATCGGGTAAAACCATGTAATTACGGTAATGTAATGTGAAATGCCGCATGCAAATGATTTCAATGATATAGAGCTGTGTTATACATGTATTTGTGGTTTGCATGGCTAATTTCGGCATAGACGTTGGCAGAAGAGTTGTGTATAAATCCCCTTTTTCCAGCACATGTTTGTGGTTGTAATCAGTTTCCTTTCTCTCGCACCCACAAACCAACTGGGCTCCTTTCTCCTAAGCTTTCCTCGAGTTGATCACTCGCTCGCATTATCAACCACTGGAAAGGTTGGCGAGGACATCAAGTTTATTTATGACCCGTACTATACAATTAATAGGAGCAGAAATGGAACCTATGTACGCAGCGCCACAGCAGTAGTCAGCACTCTATAATATCGCCTATGATGATGACGGCCAACTTTCATGGCCAGCATAATTTTCCAGAAATCCTCAAAACCAAATTTGTCCCCACGTTTTTATCATCTTCCAATAACTCCTGGCTGAATTTGCACTCTCAATCCTAAAGAGTTTATTTCTTCACGTACACATAATTTATTTTACTACCTCAAGTTTTATTTACATTCCTGAACAGTATCACTAGGTTAATCTTTTAAGCAGTTTCATTTAAATATGTAAATGTTGTGCGACCTTATTTTATTGTGCAAGCTAAATATTTGGTGCTTTTAAATCAAAGTTACGGTGGTTCATTCACTATGGTATGAATGAAATACATACATATTTTATATAAACTTTTACATATATAAAAGGAATCTAAATTCGCTGAAAATGTGATAAACTATAAATTTATATAACAATACTCACTCAGTCATTTATGTAACAGTCTGTGAAACTCTTGCTATTAATCTTATATGTATTACACGATTTATCACTAGAAGAGAGAAGCGTACTTGATATTTGTTCTGTAAATGATAACACTACTCTATATTGGATATATGCGACGAGAGATTATGAAATTACGGTATTAAAAATTATGGCGCTCTTAATCAAATCAATGTGTGAAACTTTAGTTGTTTGTACATGTTTGTGAAGGAGTAGGGTTAGATACAATTCAAAACCAAATATTTATAAGTACTTGTACTGTGAAAGTGCTACAAAGTATTGTAGGTACACCTACCTCGGATAAATTTAAATACTGTTAAAAACTATTTAAAATTTATAAGTTAATTTATGTGATTTATAACTACATCCAAATTAGAATAAATTATAAACGGGTTATTTAATTCCAAAGTACTATCACCATTATTTCAGCGTTATGCAAACTCGTTGTTGTATAACGTGCTCAGCAATGGTATCACTCGTGGTATTGCTGCGTTCATAAAATGAAGAATGAGTACACGATATAGAAAATTATGTACGAGAAATCGAATAGGGTCTCATTTTTGAATATTGAGTAGTTTATTTCGTAAGGAGAGTCTATTTTAGGACATTATTATTGTCCCTTGCTGTTGTAATATCGTTCATCAAAGTACCAATGCATAGAAGGCTATTTGGAGAGCAGCTAAGTGATGGCCTAGAGCATCTGGTATTTCTGCTCAACATGAAGTTCCATAAGGACAGAACTCGATACGCGTAACGAAAGAGAAAGTTTCAACTTTCCACGACACTGATCGTAGTGCACATACATATGTACATACGTAGAAATGTATAGAGAAATTTGAGACAGCACAACCCCAAACACCGATTTCATCTGAATTTTGGGTTCGCCTCAACTTTCCCCAACATTTGCACGGAAAATTCTGCAGAACTCGCTGAGCTCAAAGCAATAATTCGTGGTCATATAATGACGAAATGATGAGTTTCGCAGGAACCTAGCGCTGAATGTGGGGAACAAATTACGTAAAAAATCTAGTGAGATTTTAAAAGCAAATTCAGCTGCAACTAGGGGAAAATTTTTAGTAAGGTCACATGATATAGGTTGATATGCATTTACTCTTCACACGGACACCAGCACACATTACATACAAAAATTACCCAATTATAAAAAAAACTTACTGTAGCTTTCACTAATGACCAAGAAACACTATGTACCATGAGTCATCCACTCAAAATTACGTTTGTACATACATATGTATCATTTATTACTAATTTTAGCCTCTTTTCTGTTAATAAGAGTTTTAATTTATCTATACAAGCTCATTTGAACTCAGCTTTAAAAAACTTTATCATGACTTCGAAGCATACTTCTCAGTCGCATATTTATGACAAAAATGCATAAGTAATGTGCGCTTTCTAAAATATGGAATGTTTATTCTGACCCAAACAATGGTACCTTTCCATTTTCCTGCATTAATCGTTATATTTAGCAGGAAATCAACTATTACGAACTATTATGAACACAAATGGTAAAATTAAATGCCCTTTTGAATTAAAATTTCATAAAGTAGTACGTACTACCACGTAGTATTTTTTAGTATCTTTATAGTTTATGACGGTAATGAATTGTGTACCCCTAACAGAAATGTTACAAGTGACAAAGTAAGAATCCGCATGCCTGACAAGCAAGATAGGTGTCTCACATAGAGAAAAGGAATTACGGTTACATGTTTTTATAGGTATAAACATATGTATGTATATTCATAAGCACAAGCTTTCACAGCTCGGAGTATGGTGTCTCAGATAAGCGAATAAAATTGCCATGATTTTTATATAAGCACAAATGTGCTCCCTCAATTCTCAACTTTGGATGTTGTATGTATGTACATACTGCTCCGTTCAGGTAAAAGTTGCTTTCCCCATGGCAAAACCTGAGCACTACTTACACTGCGTGGGAAGTCGAGGAAATCCCTTCGAGTGAAAGGTACCAAACTTTTTTGGGGTTAATAATAGAAAGTCAGAGTTATGTGACTCTTATACTTAATTCTCATGTGCATGCCTATTCCATTGAATTTCACTTATGCTTAATTTTACGATAAATTTATTACCTTCTCAAATTGAAACTGAAGTCGGATGACTACAGGAATACAAAAATTTCGATAAAATCGATTTCCGCATAGATTTGATAGAAGAGATACACTATTACTTTTCATCACATTTGAGCATGCGACATATTTTTTTAACCATGGACTTCGTCATTTGAATTTTTCACGCATACATGAATAGGAAGTGGCCATTGATTGTGATATTCACAAGAAATGTATTTGCTTACGCAGACAGGTTCATCATTGAGTGATTGATGATAGTAAAAACGAGGCTGCTGTATTGAACTCTTCTTTGAATTATCCGATTCCAATATGTACGAGCCACTTCCTCCCCTCCAATTCTACCCAATATTTTTAGGTGTAATTTTACACTATAATGTTAATGATGTAAATCAATGTTCCTGTACTATAATTCAAACATTTTCACTCGTAGCAGTCGTAGCTCATTGCAACTGATGAAATTGGAAAATGGCCAATAAAACTATATGTAAGGAACTTTACAGGTTCAGAATTACATAAATATCTGTTTGATTGACAACAATGACACTTAAGCGAATGATGTATTGATGTTGGTGACATGCATTGATAAATGATGTACACTGCTTAATGAACCAACTATTAATGTGTGAAGTACCGCTTTATTGTCACTTTAGTGACAACCGCGGTTTCTAGACATAGACATATACACATGTAGCTTCGATCGATAAATCAGATGCAGTTTTTTGCAAAATTGAGATACGGGTAGCCATATAGATATACTTGGATAGCAATCCGTAAAATATATCCGTCCGTATGCTAAGGAAATCATCATGTCCATTCCTTAGACTTACATATACATGCAGTTATCCGACACGATGGAATTTGATAAATGAAGAAGAATATTTCATGATCTGTAATCCTTTTGATTCAGCATTTCCAATATTCGCATTTGATCTTGCTCATAAATCATCAAAATATTCTGGCGGATAAAAAGATGGCTTTTTATACGTATAGAACAGTCTACAAGGTGGTTTTTACGAAAAAAATTCTAGACACTCGAGACACTGCTTGCGACACGCAATCCCACCAACTACGGTATTCAAGATTCTTAGCAGCATTTTCTTTTAAAATCCAAACTGCCAAAGGTCGTACATATGTGCTCATCAACGTTTAAATCCGTTCTCACATTACATTACCAACACTTGCAGATCAGCTACAGTTTGTTGGTATTTAACAGCAATGTTCACGCAACAAATAAAGTAATCCATGTAACTACTCGATGAATGGAATGCAAATCGGAAGCTTGGTTTAGACAAGTAGGAAGAAGATGAAGAGAAAAGAGGAATTTAATTACATCTTGACAAAACTCATCATCCTCATGCTCAACAACCAAACATGACTAATGACCCTATGGTGAAGACTTTGTAAACTAGTGTTTAAAAAATAGCAAAACTTGTTTTCCACTACATACGCAATGTTAATACGTATCTAACAATGCAAAAGTGAGAAAATATAAAAATGACCCATCGTAAATCAAGAAACAACTTGGATTTGCTCACAAGTAACTTCTTGAGACTAGTCGTCTTCCTTTATTTAATCCGGTAGCAAATTCTTTGCCAATTCTTGATTTGAGATCATGGAGAGACGACACAGGACTGCACGACCGGATGGAGGACTCGAGAGTTGGTTTCATTTCAATCAACATAGAATTTCTTCACTCTAAAAGTGGATCCATCCGGACATAAATCAAATTTCCCTACAGAATTTTTTTGCCAAGTTTACATATTTAGATGCTTCAAAAATTTTGAGTTCATCTAATGTTCATGTGCATAAGCATTATTTAAAAATTGTTTGCCATAATTTCGACGCAGTTGTGCAATTTTATTTCTTGACCAAGCTTTTTTCTCTTGATCATATGTACACCGGCACAATCGTCTACATAAGCCGTCCTTTTTGCTTCTTGTGCTTTTTTTCCATTTTTTTTGCCGGTGCACTTTCCACAATTCAACATTATTAACATATATATTGAGGAACGGACACACCAAGCCGCTCCAAGAGGAAGTAGTCGAGTGGATGATGATGATGGGGCCCGGCCGGTCTTCTCCATCGCCATCTGATAAGTGTGTGGAGGAAGTGTGGTTCTCATGCATGCGATGAATTTGCAATACGGAATGTGGGAAAATGAGGTGAATATATCCATGAACTTAATGCTCCTCGTCTTCTCTCTTTTTTTGAGCATTAAATACAACCACGCATACAATGCAAATCCCTCTGCATGCTAGGTGAAGATGAGTTTGAATTGAAACAAGAAGTGCAAAAAAACTCCTTCACTCACAACTTCATCCTCAATGTTTTCACACACAATGGAAGACAAAAGGCGAACTTGGTGTGTATTGAACCGGAGCGCAGATACAAAGAAGAATGAGCAAAGTTACAAACTTTTATAAGTGGAGCTTGTGGAATACATTCAGAGGCTGCTGTTGTTGATCAACGCCGTTGCATTGCATGAAATCAACCCTCGTACCACTTACTTCGCAACTTCACTACCATTGAATAAGCAAGAATTTGATCTGGTCCTCCTCTGCAGTCGACGAAGTAATCGTCCAAGTATTTGTAATTGCTGAGGTACTGCCAGAAGAGAAGTCGACTTGAAGCATCCCCTCACCCCCACAGGTAGAAGTGGTTCGCATGCAAGTAACACTTGGGTAGAAGGTGTATCTATGAGTAGAAATTGAATCGGCAAACAAACAACGTGCTTGTTGGGCGACTCTTAAGTCTTATTCAAGAAACATCATTTTTCTATGAAAAGTGTACGTATGTACTTTTATGTGCATGTCGCATGAAGCACTCGGTCAAGACGGACGAATCATTCTTCCGTCGTCACTCAGATTAAAATAAGATATAGAATCTGCCAGTAGTCGTGTAAGTCTTGTGTTAATGTGCAAGACGCTGAGGTGCTGTTGTCAGTTGTGGTGTGTGTGTTCCCATGCTCCGTATATTGCATGGTTATTACTTGCTTAATTTCATGAGCAAGACTTGTTATTGTGCAGTGCAAGAAGTGGATATAAAACTGAAAAGAGTGGGTAGCAAAGCTGTTATTAGATTTCTCGGATGAAAGTAAAATGCACCTGCCTGCTTGGGAAGGAACAACAACAAAAACACTTGGGAAAGTTTCTATTAAGATTTCGTCCGGAAATCTGATGTAAAGTGGCGTACGTGGTGAAAAAGCAGAAGATTTTGCCATTTATGGAATTTACAGAGGCAATAAAAAGGAGCGTTTGTGGTTCAGAAAATTCTAAATCCAAATAGATTTGAAATCCAGTCAAGACCCGTTTCGGGTGGAAAGTGAGGATAGACTCAAGCAGAGAAGAGGACAAGAGCTGTCATCGTCAAAATCGGACTTATTTCTGTCGTTTTATCTTCACTCCGAAGCTTTACCACTCCCGAGTTATGAAGTGAATCCTTGCCTTTTACTTCCAAGATGTCCATGTAAAAATGTGTTGCGGGCTCCCAAATGTTATGACCCATGTCATACTCATTTAAAAAAAGATCCCGTCGCTTTGTGATCCATATTTCAGTTTGCTCGTATGCGATGGCTCTGTTCTAAAACTCTGAATCGAAACGGTGCAGACTACCTCCAATATTTTTAGGGTCTGTTAACTGCTTCAAAAAAATTCGACAAAAGGAGCGCAGACATTGCCATAACTTTTCCAGAAGACACTCTCAGTCGCTGCTCATTGATTTCTCCTCTTCCTCTGGAAAAGGATTTATTCGCGTAAGTTCGCCGATCTATATTACACATTTGAGACTATGATGCTTACATTCGCTCGCTCATATATATATACATATATGACTGTATATATTCATGTATATTTCTCAGTAAAAACTATTTCCTCCTTCAGTTTTTCTTCGAAATATACTGAATTTTGAACAAAGTGAAGGGCGATGATTCCCATTTTACGACAAGATTTTCCTTAGCGTAACCGTTTGAAAATGTTGTTGTAAAAACTCTAGGTTTCCTCCTAACTGGTACGAAAATGGGTTGTTGCTTGTATTTTTTCCCTCCAGGATAAAATGGTTCTAAGTTGCCAAATTTGTCACTCTCGTGACAAGGGTTGAACGTTGGTGACATTTACTGTCGGAACGATGTTGTTCCATAGTTTTTACTGTTATAGCTTATACATACATACCGTGTAGGTTAGACGTGTAACTTGCATAACAATAAAGAACTATGACAAGTGATGTAGCCGCACGCGGCAACATAGTCAATTCATGTCGACTGGGGTAATCAATATGATGGTTGTCATATTCGAGAAAGGAACTGTCACAAGTTGTCAAGAGATTTGTCACCTGACTTATCAGAGCTTTGATTTCTATCCCTTCCGTCCGTTTCCATTGCGTGAGAAATCTCACTTAGGTTGTCATTCGAGGGAAAGTGAACGAACATAGTGCACATTTCCATCCAGATATTCCGTAGTGCGGAATCCGTACTGATTTTCTTATACCCCTCAGTCTCGCACATAAATATGTGGCTGGCTGTGCTTACTGATAACAAGCAATTGCTGATAAGACTAAAAATGTTTTATTACCATCATTATACAACCATAAATATGGATACGATCAACTAATTCAATGCTGGGAGCCGTAAGTATTTAGTTCTCAATGATGCCAATCATATTTACATTCGACGCCTCTCTGTCGATATAACATTATCAGATTGAGACGAAATTACCAGTCAGAATATGATGATAGCACTTGCACTTGAGATTGGGAATGTAATGAAGTGAGCAGAAACATAACACGCACATTTGCAATTTTATTTTCAACGTGCGACTTTTACATACGTGCTCTGGACTGAAAGTATGAGCCGGATGTGCTTGCTTGAGTTTATTGTCCTGCTCATGTCCAGGGTTGTCGGGAAAATACTTCTCACAAATATTTTCGAAATCCGGTATTATTCTATTTCTTCAGAGTAATTTACAATTAAAATTTGAGGACATACTAAATATTACTATAATGAATTCCCATATATATATTTGAACTACTTTTTTATGACCACGTAAGTCAAGAGGGTACTAACAATTATAAGTACTGCAAATGCATCTACGTGTTTATTACTGCGAAAACGAATTTATAGTTTATTATCAGACGAATTTAAAGACCACCCAATCTTTGTTCATTATGCAAAGATTTATCTCTGGTTGCAGTGTCCTTCGCATCATCTTTCACAAAATGGGAGGAATTGTGGAAAAAGGGAAATGTCATGTTTTGCATCTTGCTTTTGTACAACAATGAACAGGGGATTGAGTTCACTATACAAGGCGACTGTCTTGCTGTGTTTTGTGTTGTGGCGAAGCCAAGTAGAACAGAAACGAGTTTTAGTTTTGTTAATATGACACAAATCTACATCAGTGTCCCCAATACGTACCAACGCCAGACCGCATCACACACGTTCGCCCATTTGATAAACTGCATGCGAAAGAATAAGGAGCGTTGGTTTGATTTTCTCATGGATATGACTGACGGAAATTTCAAAAGTGACAATTTTGTACATTGGATTTATCTTTTCAGCATTATTTAACCTAACCACTTTTTTCATCCCATTGCACAAACAATCAAACCACAATACATACATAAACTAAATCTAAATTATTTGTCGGCTGCTTTATTATTTCGTACATGTATTTACTCTGTTATGGTATGAATACAATTCCCAGTTTTGTTACCGCAGAATAATTTCAAAATCCGCAATGAAGATGAATATAGAATAATCAATCAGACTCAGATTGATATTCCATAGTCAAAAATGGACAGAAATACAAATATCGACTACGTAATTGAATCTATAAAAATTATTTCATTTAACTCACTCAGTAAATTGTATGAAAGGAGTGACATATTTCATGCAAAACTAGATGCGCACAAATTATTCAATTGCATGAGAGATGTACATACAGATATAAACTCCAGATTTGGAAAGTATTCTTCCTCTTAGAATGAATTATGATTGAGAAATAAATTTCCATCGATTTTTAAATTTGAATCCCGACTGGGAGAATGGCTCCAGGGGATGAATACACATACATACCTGGCCAAGAGCCAAACTTAAACGAGGCATGAAAGTGAAGCACTGTTTCACTATAAAAGCAATTCTACAAAACTATTACGGTCGTATGCTAAGAACGTTGGCACCTCCGTGTTGCTTTTCCTTATTACAATCAGATTGAGCAGAAAAATGTTGGCAGAAAAGCCACCCCGCTGTTGTGATGGCTCATTAGTTTCAGACTGAAACTTTCAGTGATAAATGATATTTCCAAACAGAGGCACATCGGAAAAGCCCAAATTTTGAAAGCGTTGAGGTTTTTGCAAAGTTGTGGGATGTCTTCTATTATCGGTATCCCAAAGGAGAATGACTGAATGATTGGAAATTATACTTTGTCTACCGCACTCTCAACTTCACCGATACATAAAATATTATATGGACGAATATCGATCGTGACTTGCAGCCTTTCCAATTTTATTTGAAACAAAATTACAGATAAGCTTAAATTATTCGCCTAGAAATCAGTGAAAACAATAGAATATAACAATAACCAACAAAAGCCTACAATTTTAAGCTTAAGAAAGTAATTCTGAGCAAACTATCTACTCTTCTTCAGTGATTTATTCATAATCTGTATAGCGCCACGAAGATGGTATGTACATACTTTTTTTACCTTGAGGCGTAATAACCCAGCATTGGGGTGTCTCATTGAAATAAATCAATCAATCAATCATAAATATCAGAGAAGATAATATTGTCTAAAGTTGTAGGACGCGTCATTAGGTCCACTGGAAAATCTTAGTTCCCATTGGGCACATTTTAAGATTGAAATACATTTTTCGTCAAGTGTTGTTTTCAGTTGACTTGGACAATCTCCTCTGTCGTAGATACCTCTGAATTTCTTTCAGTGATATATTTTTTTCTTCTTTGCTTTAAAGTATAACCACAAATCCAAATATATGAGTACGTCGCACACCGAAAATCCATGATGTGCAAGGCAGATTTCATGTAGTGAATAATAGTGATGATGAATGAAGAAAGAAACAAAGGATGTTCCCCTTTTGTGTAAAAAAGCTTTTACAAGATCAGGACTGAGATTGAATAAATCAGTAGAAAATTCGAGCAAATAATAGCAAAATGTTCTATTTCGTCCATTTCTTTTATGCCATCTAATCGCAGCTGACGCTGGCAGAGATTTGTACCACAAGCCTCTTGACATGGTTAGATAGATGAATGATAACGAATATTTAAAGTAGCAGGATTTTGGATTACTGCACTTTTGAAAATAGTTGATTTTAATTTTTTTTACTCTAAGAATGCATTTTTTACATAAACTCGTATATGACAATTAATAGCATGACGATGAGCCATCAAATATGCATAAGCTTGCCATATATGTATAATATAGTTAATGCATGGAATATATGATTGTAATGTTGCCTCAAGTTTTTTGCACATTTGAATAAAACAGTGGCACGAATGGCACGATATTGACATTTCAGGTAGAATTAGGATTAGAACAGCTATTAATTAGCTGGTACACGGAAATTTTTAACATTTTTAGCTGTAATTAAGGGCAACTTAGATTGCCGACGTAATTAAGGAAATCATACGGTTGGTAGAGATCGTTTCCACACTCTTACATACATACAATACAAGCAACAATGCGATTCGTAGCATATACACGAAATGTTTATAAGAATAGCTTGGAACTTTATGAAATGACTAAAATCTGTAATTACTTATCCGAAATGCTCTTAATAACCAGTCTCTTAAATATACAGGATAGTGGTAAGTCGTGCATGAGCATACACTAATTGTTCATATCAGATCCTCTGACCTGATTACTGGAAGGTACTAGGATTACTTGAAGGTTTTAAGAGGCCTGAAATTAACAACGATTTATATATGTTCAGGATTCCTTAGTTTTCTTCATAAATGAAACAAGCCATACTTCATGCAAACTCCAACTAAACTGTGTATGCATATGTTTCATGTATTCTTCTTGAAGCTATCGACCATAGGTCAACCGAGAATTAAATTTAGGAGATCGAATACTGCAAAAATTAGAGGTAATCATAATAATTGACTTCGGAAGTCGCTGGAGAAATCACCCATGCATATTATTATATTTGTAATAGTCTTCTGTATAAATATTCGTCTAAATAAATTGTACATACACGAGTCGTCTTTATTGGAGTCTACAATCATAAAATGACGTAGGGAAACAATGTTATTATGCTCCAAATAGTTCCTGTATCTAACTGCATGGGCGGTCAAGTACATACCAACTTATGTAGTGTGTATACATATATATGTATGTATGTATGTCGGCATTATTATGCCAATACAAATAGGCCTTGGTATCAGTAAACCAGTTGAGATTTCCCACAAGAGTTAAATTGCATTCCTCAAAATAGATCTCTCGACTTCAGGAAGGAAGCGAAGATACTGATTTTCATTTTCGTTTTCAAAGGAAATCTTGGTTTCTTCGAAATTCATCGAGGTTTAAATTGCGACGGACGTTTTTGTTATTGTTTATTGGCTGGATTTAAACGGAAATGGGATCAAGCCATGTCATCGGGCAAACACAATTAATTGTTGTTTGCAACATTTTGCATTTCTCTATATCGTTCATTTCCTTCCTGTCTATCGTGATTTATGTATATTGTACATCAATATTATACTGTGACATTGTGATTTACCGAACTTTCTTCCTTGCTACAGTGCCACTGGACCCAGGCGTAGAATATATCTCAACATTTGGACGTGATGGTGAAAAAGTGCCCAGTTTCCCTTCTGCTGAGATGGCTTGCAGTACCACTTGTGATAGAAGCATGTATAGCAGTGTCAAGTAAGAAACTTTGTATAAATATTACGAATTAGAAAAGAGGTTGATTAGTTAATGAAACTATTTTATGCAGATCGAATGTACACATTTTCTCAAGTAGCTTCTAGCATAAAGTTGAATTACATATGTAAAGTTGATGTCATTGTACGTATTAATTTATGTCACACTTGCAACGTGCATCTATTTGCGAGAACACATTTATGGAAACGGTAAGGGGAATGCATATGTAGGAGGTGCATAAAAGGACGAGTAAAAGGTAGCCTGTCAGCAAAAAATAATTTATCTTCCATTGTGGTCCACGCTTCTCCGACAGTGAAAGTGGGCGAACTAGAGAAAAGGTCTCATTTTTTCGTATCATTTATTCTGCGGTAGTTACATATTATTATTATATATTCTCTGTACCTTCAACTGCATTGTGGATCAAACGTGAGAATCTTTGGCTTCAGACTCAAAGAAACCGTGCCATTATATAATATCAGAATTTATGACAGGACGCCAGGTTGTTTGTGATTCTCACATTTTTAAGCTGGTCGCATCACCAAGCACAGAATTCATTAATGCGCAATGTAGAATTATGTATCTCAACAGGAGAAACCAGACGTATTTTCCATGTTTAGAGAAATTTAATATAAAACTATGAGAAACATTGGTACATATGTTTCAGCCTTTGAGCAGCTTTTGAGCAAGGCGACGAAAATCTCAAGAGCTTTTATGTACATATGCATATGCATTCATGAATATTATTTCTCTGGTACGAGATATGTACATTATGTACATGTAATCGGCTTAAGGTTGTTGAAAGCCTAATAAGTATTATACCACGTATTTATGCCACTTTAGGCAGATTACCCCAAACTGTTAATGCTTATCATACTCATCACCCTATCCAAAGTAGAATAGGTAGTCTACATACAAAAGTTGTATGCATTATCCATAAAGCATTGTTTTGTGACAAATATGACCCACTGATGCGTACCCAATAAATTCTAATAGATTCAAACTAATCTGCGTGCATATATTATATAGTCGACAATTTCGAGGGACATGCCGGATTTCGTATGGCGTCGTTGCGTTGGACTACAAATTTGAAAACCCCAGCAACATTTCGAGTCAAATACTGTGAGCTACATCCGTGGGGATTGCATCGTTGCCGCTACCAGGTACTACATTTCTCTTGGCTTCGTTATTATTAAATATTACGGATTCAAATGCTTAGACAAAATAAAAACATTTTTATAAAGCGTTAATTCATCCTCAAAAACATGAGGCGGATTTAACTTAAACTTTTAAAATCTTGAAATAATGATCGAATATTACAGCTAGTTTTGACCTGTATTTTAGAATCTCCACTGTTAATGACCTTTGCTAGGTGTGTGTAACCTCTATTTGAGTCTCACAATTAAGACTGATAAATTTATAAGCTGATATTCAACAGTCCTATTGCGACGAATGTTTAATTAGAACCCTGTAGCCAATTTCATACGTAAAGTGCAATGTACTGTAAAATATTACAAAGGAAGTAAGCGCATACAACTGGAAAATATATGAAGTGATTAGTGAACGAAGGTGACCCTCGTCATCAAAAACTCATACATAAACATAATAATCAAAAGGAGGTCCTCATCCTCAAAATCGCTTCCGAGTTCATTACCATGCATCTGCTCATTACAACATATTTACACTACACATTTGACACTTTTGGTCCGTGCTCACTCAACGACGACTTTGGAGCTGGATTATCAGTAATGAGCTTCATATGAAACCGCAAAGTTTAGCTGCGCTTTACAAGAGATGACATCATGTAAAAATGAGTCCCATATTCGGCAAATATACATTTTGCCATGTTTACTTTACAAATGTCCGGTGAGTTAAATGCACCAGATTCTAGAGTGCAGATAATCTTGTTGACAACCTACTTGTAGATAATGATGTAGATATCTCTGAAAGTAGTCCTTGTTATATGATGACAAAGCAAATTGGATTTCGCCAATCATCATCAGCGTCTGTTTCTTTTCAGCGAAAAGGGTGACAGGTGTTTCAAATATCGAAGATTTTAGCCATCTTCAACATTCGGGCAGTGTTTTTGATGGAAGTAGAGCCGAGTGAGTTTGTATTTATGGTGGTTGCATAGTGTAATTGTACAATATTGGATATGACTCTAAGATTAAGTGAAAAAACAGATGAGAATATTTCAAGTGTTAAATTTTATTCAAGCGTCGCACCTGGCTCGCAATTAAAAAGTTATTGCATGCGGACTTACATGCATACTTCTCACAATCTTTAAGAAGTTCTTAGTAATCACTGCAGTAATCACTTTGTCTGATGATCATCTTGCTATTGCATCGTTCTCTCTAATAATGCAGCTTTATGCTTGGTAAAAATTGGCGATGAGTATCAAGACACAATAAATAAGAGATAAGAGATAAGAGATAAGAGCGAATAAAAATGCCAACATAAATTAATTTAACATTTTACCAGTCAACAAGTTGTATCAGGAAAATATTTGCAATAACAAATTCTTATTTCCCAGTGTTGATCTCACCAATACGTCCATATTGATTTGAGCAAAGTCAAAGCGTCCAAACTTGTGCATGTAAATATTATTTTATGAATTCGTAATTTTGATGTGTTCATGTTCGATCGCATGTAGTAGAAAAGAAAAAATATACAATAGGCCAAAATGTTTTTTTGACATTGTATCTTGTTTAGTGATTGATCATTGTGTAAAATAAAATATGTAAAATTGATTAATTATCTATTAATACGTGGTCACCAGACCTTGGATAATTTGTCCATGGCCGTTAACTTGTCTTACTTTGTTTCAAGCTTAGAACTTGACTCTTACCTCAATCGATTATGCTCATCATAACCAGAAATGCAAAAAAAACATGGCTCATTTTTGTGATGGAGTAGGAAAAACTATTCCTTGATTGAATCAAAGTTGATTCATCACGTCATCGTGTCATGTCGATGCTCAGTATGCAAATCCTGCTTAATTTGTATTGATATCTACAACTTACATACTGTGCATATGAATGCAGTGGTTACAGCAAGGTATTCCAGGTACGAAGTTATCTATACGTAAAAGACAGCATACTTCTGTTTGGGATGAGTACAATCGGATGAAAGATGAAATCATTCGTCCATGATATTACCGGGATCTAACATCATCACCAACAGAATTTGCACATGTAGGAGACAATTAACACAATAGATTCAAGTATCGGAGTCGTTCCATACATGTGTGCGTGTTTCCAAAGTATTAGTGTCAGTATGATGTGCTCAAAAATCCAGCATTATGTAAGATTAGCATTCTAGCTCTGAGAGGTGATGGAGTGGATGAAGATTTAGATACTCATGTGCAAACCGCAAAAAATTAACAATCAAATTATATTGTTAGGCGTCTCAATTTATGCAGATGACTCAATATTCACCACATGCTATTTATAATTATGATTACGTGCCATTGTTAAGAGAACGTATGAATTCTGGGATGTAATACATGATGATAGGCCGCTGGATTGATGAGTACGTGACTAACATCGGTCACCTAACAATGTCGAAAGCATATCGGATTCCGGCGCATCAGCTTTCAAGATATTCGATACGAGTAATTTATCTAAGTATGCAAAAGGTCCGCCTAACCCACAAAGTATCTCTGGTCAACATATAAATGACTACATAACGGAGAATGACAACGCAATTACTCAAAAATATTTTATGCACAAGTTTAACTTTCACAGCACCAAATTGCTCACAGTGGATGATGGTGAAGTAGACATTTTTCAAATACAATTTACTGCAAATAATCACGAAAATCTTTTTCCCTACTGTTGACTGTATTGATGAATTGACGGACTGGTGCGTGTTTTTTTATATTCATGTGGCGATGTAGTGATGCACTGACGCAAAGCAACAGCAGCTCATCAATAATCATAAACCAAGGATAAGCCAGTGGCCGTAGTCCAGAAGAGTGAAAGGCAAACTAGGTGGAGCAATGCGAGACATGAAAATAGATTCGGAGTAGCGTCGGATTAACACAAAAGCTAGAACAAGCGATGTGGATTAACAGTAATAAATCAAAGCCTACAAAACTGTATTCACCTTCCTAATTTCCACATCAATCTTTTCATTCCATGCTCCTACCATGAACTTGAAACATTTATCATTGTGGTCTACGTGTGAAACTTATTCTTATTCTTAGTTTGGTACTAAAAGTATGCCCATTGCAGACCATTTCGAATATTCAGCCCCACTAACAACCACACCCGACCAAGACGACCCCCACTGAACAACCACTTGACCGAGTTGCCCTGCACAAGCTCTGGGAAACCAGGTAGACGGAGGCTCAAGACGTGTACATAAACCTGACTCTTGCTAATTACTAAAATTCATCAATACTGATAAGCGTTGACTTACTGGATTTTATACTTATGGAGTGTGATGTCATGCATGACTACCTTTTTATGTCGAATGTCAGCTATTTGACGGGATAATGAATGGACTGCCGGGTTGTCAAAGTTCAGTATAGTAAAATCCATTGTTGAGCTGACTGAGTGCTAAAATTAAGGCTAAAATTACCCATGCAAAAATTTATGCCAGTTCAATACAATCTGCAACAGCCCAATTTCAAAGTAAGTAACTGCCCTATCTCGGACAACCTAGGCAGTGAAGGACTTACTCATAGTAGTAGCACAATACAGAGGGATTACAGAAGACCTAAATTGAATTTTTTGGCGTAACTCTTCGTTGTCTGTTGTTGTGAAAAATGCCAACTTTATTTTCGATCCCAGGACTAAAGCTTGTGGTCAACCAAGTCTCGCTTCAACTTTTAAATCCCAAAATGTCAAACTTCAAACTACAAACAATTTATCATGGAATAACGTGGATGTCTAATGGTTAAGATCCATGGCCATGTGAGTCAGTTGCTCGGTGCCATCGGAGTTGATATTTTGGACAAAAGCGGTTTCAACGCAATAGGTTTTTTGGGGTTCGTTTTGGTTTGGAGAAGAGTGCAATAATCAACATGAATTGCTTGCTTCCTCAACATCCCTTCCTGTCTCATGTCTGAATGAAATCCAAGTCTTCATCTTCTTATTTTAATAGTCGAGCATTTTATGGCATCTTGTTTTTGTTCGCAAGATTCTCACACAAATATGACACGGCCGTGCGCTTGCTTTCGCTCTTTTAGTCGTAAAGTACAAAAGTCGAGATATAATTTAGTTTAAGCGTGAGGAAAAGGTCATTGAAATGAGAGGCAGAATACAAACACGATAAGATTCCGCTATTGAAAACAACAAAAGATTAATAACTACCGTTGCCTTACAAGAAGAATAATTGCAAAGGAAAAATCAAAATTACAAATTTGTATGCCAATTATACTACATAGCGATCATTTGTTGCAGATGAGATTGCAAAATGGGTGTTTGCATAACCCGATACACTTCTTGAAAGTTTTTTATCTTGACAAAAATACTACCGAATTTTTATTCAAAAAGTTCAATAACCATGATTAATGTGAACTTTCAATGAAGATTTTTAGCCCTATGAACTTAAAAATGGTTTCCATATCCTGCCTATGAATACGTGCATTTTGATTCTACAATAGAGCTAAAACTTAACAATAGATTTATATATGCCCTCCGCCGCCTCCCCGCAAACGTCGTGGACGAGAGGAATTTCCGCATCATCCGAGCTATGCAACTCTCGATGCAAAAGATTTATCTTCCCAAGGAAGAGTGGTTAACTTTCGAACAGGTGCGTTTGAGATGTCACCTTTTTTTATGTGAAATAAGCTACAGAATTTATAATTTGATGTTGAATAATATTTCCAAACCATGTTGTTCTGACAATTTGTAGGACGATTACTACCTTAAGCCATACTTGGAGGAAGTAGAGAGGGAATTTAAGGAAAGAGAAGAATGGCGAAAAACGTAGAGGAAATATATATTCACCGCATTTCTTGAAATATTATCAATACAATGAGAATACGTTCGAAATCCGTAGCAAATGTTATGTAATCAAAATCTGTTTATAGTATATAGATGTAAACTATTATTAATCCCTATAAAAGAATTTCTGAGATGATGAGATGATAAATGATTGGTTTTTGCTGCTCGATTGATTTTAAATTAAAACGCCGTGTCCTCTAGTCCAGTTCAACAGTAATAAATAAACCTCTACGTGTACAAAATTGTTCATGTTTTTAATGAGCTACTTGGTTTTGACATAATGTATCTTTGCATTTTCTGCACCTGAAATTTTATATGTAGAATTCAAAAAATATCATATCGAATTCAAAAACGAGCAAAATTGGTTAATACAAGGAGACCAATGGGAGTAATTGACACAGGGGTTGTGGTATTCTAAAATCTGAAGTACTTTCAAAATGGGAATTAAAATTTTGTACGATAGTTCCTATGAAATATTTGACTTCTAATGAAATTTATGAGATAAAATTTCCAACCCGAGGGATTTTATATGAAACCTGTAGATCGTTGAAACATGTGGTTTAATTCATATGATGCCATTCATATGATATCTAATGAATTGCACATTCGCTGGTCCGGGCTCTTTAAGTTAAACTAATGATTCATTTTTAATTTGATCTGCTCCATTTTCTAGATCCGAACTAGACATATGCATGTATATATCCATAATTAATTGACCGATTCCCTTGAGCGATCCCATTTACATTATACAGCAAAGTATAACTACAGATCACGAACGTGCATTCACACCGAAGATGGAGGCAGTAAACAAGAGCAAGTGGTATTGCGGTTTATGGAATTCGACCAAATTGTGAATTCCAATGTTCCATTGTTCTTGATCCGCACGATTGCCAAACGATCGTATACAACAATGTTGTCAGCTCATTCGACGAGCATTTGGGAACTACACGGAAGAAGAAAGAGGATTCACCAAAAGGCGCACACATTACATACTTATACGTATTCAAGTGGTTTCGACGATGCAAGAACCAATGAAACTCCCCAATTTTTCGCTTGGATGAACTCGTTCTTACTGGGCAGTCAAAAAGTTTTACTGGTTGAGTTGGATATGAAAATAGAACTTGATTCCGTATAGTAAAATTATCTGTGCATGTGTACATATAAATATATGCCCCACAACGTATATCAGTGAATCGAAAGCTATCAGCGTGTTCTTGCAACCGAATAAAAATTTAACCCTTTAGCTCAATTTAAGTCGGAACTTTTTAGGACACGTACTAACCTTAAATAATGCATTAGACGAGGAAACTTAAGGTGCGAGAGAACAGAAATTCTCTAGGTTATGTAGGTACCATAAAATGCAGACCTCATTTAATTCCTGGGCCCCACACATTCCCAGTTCTTTACGGCTCGAGAATGCTAACCTTTGTAAAGGGCAGAGATCTTATTGAAATCTGCATTTTGATGCGGATTGTATAAGGATGTAGGTTTTATTTCAAGAAACATCCAGAAGCCAAGCCTAAAGCGATTTAATTCATCGCTCGCGTTATACAAAGTTGGGTCCTTCCTTACACATTTTTGTTCTAATGACTCCATTTCCATATAAAGAGCTGCCATTAAGGTTCAGTAGTTGCAGTTTGGAGATAAATAGGACAGATGCAGTCTATTCCCCAAATTGAAATATCTAGAGATACTTGAAATTTAGAAGCTGCAAACTTTGACGCTTCGCCATAATAAATTGAAATTCTGCGAAAGTTTATAAAAGGTCGCATTTATTTTGGCATGTGAGAAAAAACTACTGTCAACTGTTGCTGGACGAGTTCTATTTTATGTAATATTTACCACGTGCGTCACGTACTAGTTAAGTATGTAGTTCCAGTGTGGTTGTTTTTAGTCCGAACTCTTAAGTGCTTGTCTGTCTTATCTTCAGTCCGTCGGTATTTCGACAACTCGGGAACGGATTACCCGCATGTATTTGCCAGAAAATTTAATTTAATAATTAAAGTAAAATTCGTCCGAGTGGGGGGTACAACAAGTATAATTGGTTGCAAAGTTTACATTTTACCAATTTAATAAGAAAATTTTGTCCCGTGGAACAAAATTTATATATCTATACATGTACTTATGTTAAACTGAGGACTGATATTTTGGACAAAATGGAAATTAAATTTAGTGCCAGCAATCAAAGAATCTTATGAAAAAAACATAAGTAAAATCCCAAATATTGATATTCCACTAAATGCCTGTTCGGACTAAAACTAAAGCTGGGAGAAAAGAAATTTGCTCTTTTCCAGAAAAAAAAATCAGGTCATGAAGAACTTGAGACAAATACAATCTCAAGGCTTAGAAATTAAAAAACGCTTTCCTTCTTGTTGTTTGCAGACAGTTGATGAAATGGCAGCCCGGACTGGAAGGGAAACTAGTCAAGGCGAAAAAACCATTTCATTTGACATTGGGGGTTTAAGGATGTCGACGAACTACTCATTTCAAGTGCTACCACAAGATCTGGGACAAAAGTTTGTGGCTCGACCATCTCAAATTTCGTTGCAAACTAAAGGATGTAAGTTCAATTCCGGTGATTATTTTGTGCAATCCCAATTCAATTTTCCAAGATGTGACCCAACAAGTCATCATCATTGTATTCTGCGATGAAAGCAGAAATAATTAATAATGTTCTGGCCGGATTATCAGCGAGTCTCTCTCGATCCAACTTTTGCTATAAAGAAGAAGAAAGGAGAGATTTGAGTAAATGCAATGACTTGGCAGAGTCAAGAACAACTGGGCAGAATTGGAATTAATTCCGGAAGTTTGAAGCCAATTTAATGTCCCATTGACAATGTTGGGTGGTAGTGGTTTGATTTGTAAAAGCCTTCCTGCAATTAAACCAGTTCCTCTTGTCTTGCAGTTTCAGCAAAAGCAACAAAGTGTCTTGCAGATTCCAGCGAAGTTGCCGTCGAGACTGGACCTTTTTTCGGTGGCAGAATTTCCATAGAAGACTCGACAACTCCGGGATGCTACGTCAAGGGCAATCCGCAGAGGTATCTTTATTTACTGGTTCCAGATACGCTCATTTACCACCACCAACAACCTACACCCTGATAGAGAGACAGAAAACAACTTAGATCCATTACGAACATCTGTGCAGAGAGGAAGCTAATGTGATCTGCTTTCTCCTGCCAAGAGAACTCTCTTCTTGAGAGAGAGTGAAATCATGTATTACTCTAAAACCACATCTCCATGCAATAAGTAACTGGCTAGGCAGCACAAGTTTTAAATGGTGGTCCTTTATTCCCTACCCTTTTCAAACGTGTGGTAAACATTATCATGATATATACTCTTCTGGTCCTTGAGTAACCGTCCTGCCCCGGCGATTGCTATTACATAAATCTTGTAAACCCTTGTCCTTCTAAAATCCCTCACAAGTTGTAAACCAGACGCCGCCGCCGCAATGTTACTTGTTCGCTTGGGTCCTATACTCAATCTGAACAGAGACACCTTTTCCCTTGAAATGTGTGTCCAGGTAGAACGGAGCCTATGTACATATAGGTTTGTTCTCCCAAGCAAGCAATTTTTCAATTAGAAAGCACTTTATCACGACATGCGGCTAGCTTTGCCAAGAGACGCCGACTTTCATTGCTTACCATACATTTCAGGACTGTCGCGAGTGAATCGGTTCCTAGTTTGTTGCAGTCACTGGATTTCCTGAGAGGTCGAAAATATCTGGCTCCGAAATGATCATATATAAAAGATCCCAAAGATTTGCGGAGATTGAGACAAATCAATAAGAGAAAGCTTCTTTAGTATTCCATCTAAATTGCATGTGACCATCTCTCAATGCCATCCTCACTCATCCTCAGCCCCATTCATTCATCACACCCACTGCTGCTGCGTGACTGTTGTGTAGTTCCTGATAATAACAAGAAAAAACATAATGAAAATACATTATAATTATTACAGCCCGCAAACAAAGTACACGTTGCGAATTCGACACAAGGAGTGTGGGAGTACGGTGGTGGATGGATCAAAAGTAACCAGCGTGATCATGGTTCAAGAAAACATCCCGATTTTGACACACAGCAGCCGTCGGTTCGTAGTGCTCTGCTCGATTTCTCCGGATTCTTTCACCGTGTCTGCGGGGTGAGTTGTACTTTCTCCTTCAGATTCTGGACTGTAGCTACTTGCATGCTTGTAATAAATGTGGGGCCATGTGAGAAAAATGAGACTTTCTTCGATTTGAACGTGTTCTACCCAATGCAAAAAATTAATTACATGTGATACAAGCAATAATAGCAATAGCACTTCCCTCAAAGGCAAAGATCAATACCCATATATATGTGGATATATATAACATGCTGTTTGCTGTATTCTTAGAGTGTCGCTGCCTCGGGAAACTAGCGTGGCTAAATCTTTGGACTTTAATCGACTGATAAGAATAGCCCCAAGAGTCAACAACGCATTGCAGGGTGGGCGAGGAGGTGGGGAGTTGTTGGGAGAATTGGACCATCACAATCAGCATCAAGATGAAGAGTCAGCACCACTGCATATTCAGGACGAGTATCACAACTCCATACCAACAAACAATCTGCAAGATGGGTCCCAGTCTCAGTACCACGTATCGCATCTTTATGCGGAGAAAGATTCCAACGGTGCGGAGGCGAGGGGCCTGGCCGTAAAACTTCATCGTGGAACTTGGGAAACATTTCTCGTCTTTGCAATGGTAGGTGCGGCAATAGTGGCAAGTCTGGCTTCAGTTCTATGGTTCATAAGGTCGTATCGGAACATCAACTCTGCACACGAGGAAACCATTCGAAGAATAACTGCCGACGATTCTTCCTCTGATGCCAACTCGTCAATTTCATATGATGGTTCATCATCATCCCTTTCCAACGTGAGCTACTCTGATACACGTTCAGAAGCGGATGTAGAACTGGATTTCGAATTCTCGGAAGATATCAACAAACCTACGCCCATCGACGAAACCATTCAAGATGTTACCTTAAATATTTCCTCGCAAAACTCTTCCTCCTATGCTTGAAATGTACGAATTCAGTTGCGTGCATACTGTACAACATACGCTGTAAAATATTACTTCGGGAATGTTAAAACGTTGGTCTTATTCATTTAAGTATATGTAGAATTGTATTCGCAGGGAATGCATAACCATGCATGTATAATATTGCATGGCTAACCTAACCGAACGTTGGTTTATTATGTACATATGTACCCTTCTTCGCTAGCAATAAATAAAAAAACGTGTTACATTTGTAAACCCATATTGATCAGAAAGTTGTTACAGGTGACAGTATTGTAGTGATGTGATAAGTATTATTTTGTTTTCTACGTATGCAATAATGTGCGATAATAAAATTTTAAAAAATCATGTCCTGATTGTTAAAATATTTTATTTTCAGCTTCCTGTCACAAGTCAAGAAAATATTACATTTATAATTTTAAAAAAGATCTATGTACATACATATATGGATAACATTGACACAATAAGTCCAACAAGAAGAAAAAAACTTAAAATTGGTTATTTCTTTCGTCACTATAACTAGATCAACTTTATTTTTGACTACTATCCTCTGGGGACGGAATGTAGTTCGAGTTTCCAAACCTTCCCATGAACTTTTTAACATACTCTTTTGTCTTTTGTTTTACTCCGTCAGTAACTTCAAGAGGTTTGTTTCCCCGAGAGTGTTTTAATTCTTTGAGTAAGATGGCATGCGTCATCTGCAACATCAGAATAAAAACGAACGATAAATCAAGTAATCTGTTATCGAATCATAATAATTCAACCAACCTTTCGAGCTAGATGCTTAAAATCTTCGGTTGATACGATTCTTCCCGTTTTACAGTCTGGCTTTTTGTAAGGGTTCAAGTGTGTAACAACAACATTTGCAATTTGACTACGAAACTGTTCTTTACTTTTGTCAGACGCAATCTTTTTATATGCCATCGTTTTTTGCTTTCGCTCATGCTTAGAGCTTCGTTCCTTTTTGACACCAACAACCGGTGGGGCAGATGATGAAGATGGCGTGGAGGGAGTAGAAACACGATCTAAAATGGGATCAAGTCCTGGAATCATAATCATATTGTCTTCTGGTGCAGTTGGCGATCCGTAATTATCGTCAACAATGGATGCCAAAGAAATATCCAATTCTGTTTCAATTGGAGAAGACGAGGCATGAATATCATCTGAGTCATCGTCGTCATCGCCTGAGATTGAAAGGGACAACTCGGCATTCGAAGGGATTGTAAGCTTTGGGGAAGGGGTTTTGATCATTTCATCGCTCGACTCCAAGTTTTCAGCATTGTCTTCTAGTCCCACAGAATTGTTGTCGTCATCATCTTCAGTTTGATATGATTTCTGAGCGTCCTCCACAGCTTTTTGTCGTTTTTCTTCCAAAACTTCAAGTTTCCTTGCTCGGATAACAGCTTTGCTTATGGTCGATTTATCATCCTCTGTTCTAGGCTAGATTTCAAAATATTATTATCAAAAACTTGACCCATGCTATATTTACGGGTTTTTACGATTTTCATACTTACACTTATAATTCTTTCTTGTACTAAACCAGCATTTTTTCGCCTTTTTGCACGCTCATGCAATCTAGTCCTTAATGTGGAGACAGATTTGCTTGGTGGTGGTGTATGTTTTACATTATCAGAAGTGTCTTCCTCCTCCTCCTCTATTGCTTCAGAGTCTGACGATTCACTTGATTCTATCATAATTCTTTGACAGTCTTCGGCTGTTGGAGGGGTCCATTGAGCCTGTTGAACTTTATGGTGGTAGTAATAACAGCGTCCTTCATCGTCTACTGCCATTTTCCATCCATCTTAAAAGACATTCCTACGTTATATACCGCAAAATGCTTAATGATATATATGACCGATGGGATAACCTTACCTGGCAAAGATGCTGGTGGTAGTGGAGGAGGAGGTGGCAAACCTTCTGGCCATGGGGGGAAAACATATTCGGATTCTGCCGGTTCTGGGGGCACTTGAATAGTTTCTTTGGCCTTTGCAGCATTCAACATTTGTTGAATTCCAGGTGGGAGGCCTGGATCTATGTATGATTAAATCAAGAGTAAAATGGGATTACATTGACACTTTAATAAGTAGCATTAATGTTATACCATGTGGGATGATCCGCAGCCATTGTATACTACTAGGGTCGAGATAATAGTGACCACTAATATCCACCACAGGTGTAGTACTCGGGTCTGAATAAAAAAGAGTATATTAAAATATTCAAAATGGACAGGGGTGGACACGATACTTTGGTCGTATAAATTCACATTCTTCTATTAGAAGCCATTCACAACTTCTGTACCATATTTCAGCTATTGATTATTTATAAGATAATTTTTCTGAATTTGGTTACGTTGGTCTCAAATTTTTTCGTCCACCCACAGTAAAGTTGCGTAGATTTTAAAATTGCATATGCTTCAATGGACGAAGCGTCATATTGACCCATGCTATTTAATATACTGCTGCTGCTGCTGAGAGAGTTGTTCAATCAGTTTATGTATGAAATTTGGGAAATTGAATGATTTTCACGTCAACATAAAATATTTAAAACACCTTATGCGATTCGGCTAATGTAAATCGGCGATGGATTACAATCATGCATATCATGTAGTACGCAACGTATGTATATATCTACGCATGATTATATGGTATATTACTAATTGACAAAACATAAAGTAAAAATTTAACAAACTCTGGGTACTACAAGTATCTTGTATCTTGTCAACTATCTTCAGATACTTTTCTGCCAGGCATATCTAGATTGTCTAAAACAAGATAAAAGTACCTTGTCCACCCTAGTTTTTGAAAATGGATATGCAAGGTTTGCATAACTGCTTATCGGTTTAATAATTATAATAACAATGTACTAACCTAATCCCAGGGCATTGCAGCGATGCTGGTGCATAATAATCATTTCATCCTGCATCCGTCGCTGTCTCATATCTTCTTCTTCTTGAGCCACTTTCTGAGCAAACAATTTACGCTTTTGTTCTTTAGACAAATGGGGATATAGATCCTTAATTCTCGGTTGACCACGGTAAAGGGACTCTGTTGTAGGAAGTCGTCGATCTCTCCCATTTCTATTCGTGCCCCATTTGGATCGACTAAACCAAAAAGCAAAATAAATAAAATCATGAAAATCAAGTTATGAGATGGATAATACTACATTTTAAACAACAATTGAGACTAACCCTTGATCATATGAGTAGCTGCTGATAGAATCCGTAGTAGGAAGAGGAGATGAACCCTTGTCAGCTTCGCGTTCATGTTCTTTCATTTGTTCAACTCGCTCTTTTTTGGGAATTCTAAAAACTTCTTTGAGATATGCCCAAGATGTTATCAATGTCTGAGCAATATTTTGAAAACTCCAAATATTATACTTTTCTTCATATTTTGCGTCTTCTTCCATTGGTTTCACTCCACAATCTTCAGCAGGATTTTTATAGATCTCATCCACTTCCATTTTATCTGGCTCTTCTTTGAGTGCAACTGGCAGTATAGTTTCATTTTCGATAGACGAGTTAGAAGTATCAGGTAAGGTAGTAGTTAAATCAGTTGCCGAATCTGTCGGTTGCTGATTCTGTACGTCTGGGGGAACTGGCGCAATTTCAACAAGCGTCCTGTTGGGAGTATTAGACCACGTGTCCATAAGTGACAAAATTTTGCTGTCCAGCAGCATAGTCTTGTTAGGAATTGATAAAGATGCCAATGTTTTCAAGAACTATAAAAAGCAAATATTTGTTTGACACGGAAACTCAAAATAACATTTATGCAAGAAACAAAATAGTTCGAAACTAGAGAATTTACCAGAAGATGATATTCTTCACTTTTAATGACTTGGGTTGAGATATTTTCGACCGGTAAAGGAAGGTTGATCATCCAGTTATACATTAGTTTCAAACCTCTATAATCCAAAAATAATCTACGGCATGCCGGATCTCCATTAATTAGTATGTTCAGAATACGTTCCCTGTCATCCCATTTTTCAGCCCTAACCATCAATCGACTTAAGGTAAGAGTATGGGTTCGGTTTTTCAGTCCACTTCTTTCTAATTGGCTCAACTCTTCCTCCAACTAAACAAAACAATACATTTCGAATTAAGGTAAATTATATGTCATAAAAATATAGTCATTCATATGAATGTTAGAAAATTAATTACGGCAGCATCTTCCAAAATTCGAATTCTAGCATCTTTTCTTTGCTTGCGTTCAGCTGCAAGTTGAGCTCGTCTCTTCTTTTTCTCTGCCTTTTCAATTTCAAGTGCTTCGGTGTCTTCATCTGGACTCCGTACCTCAGCCTCAGCCACATCAGTTTCCTTATCATCATACTCCGCGTCGTCATCATCCTCTTCTCCAATCCAACCTCTACAACTTTGAGTTCCACAATAGCATCGCTGCGCTTTTTTACTATAATCATTAAAAAAATTCAGTGTTGCTTGAGTTGGATGTACACCTACTTTCTGAATCTTAACATATGAAATTTTCCTTACCCATAGCGCTGAAACTGATAATCGAATACAATTTCTTCACCTGGTTTTAAATCCCGCAACGTAAAAAATCCTATTCGTAGCTCTCCATTCACAGTCCACTGGAAAAACAATGCAACAAAGCAATTACCAAGTAATTCACTATTCACTTATTTAAACCCACGGCATGCTTATATTTAATAAATAAAATCAAAAGCCAACCTTTTGTGTTTCACAATTTGGTTCACAGCTGTGGTTTATAAATCTCGAACAATTTCCTTTCAATGTTGCTAAAATATAAAAGTGGCATGGGAAATTTATATTAAAATGATTGTTGTTCCCACCAGCTAGTTGGTTAAAATTAATTATGGCATTTCCACCATACAACTAACCATCTATAATGGAATCTGCTTTTAACGCCATGAAATAAAAATGTTCCTGGTTCCCTTTGGCATATTCTTTTGTACGACTCTCAAATTGAAATGGATCCAAAACTTCTCCTACATATTCGATTACAAACCCACCTCTAAACCAATTATAAGGAAGTTTGTTAATTAATGATTATCGCAATTTTTCTGTTGCAGTTGTCAAATAAGGCTAAACGTACTCTGGGATTAGCTGAAGAGTTCGAAGTCCATGACCCTTTTTCTCCGTTTTGAACACTTCTAAGGTTGCATATTGTTTACGCTGAAACTTTTTATTCATGCAGCTCTCTCCGGTTGGACATCTCGGACCGCTGTCATCAAACCCATTATTTTTATTTAAAGCCAAACAAATACAAAGTACACAAATTAATGACAAATAGTAACTAACAAAGTGAGACAAAAAAACGTACCATTCCACCATCAATAATCGATTTAAGCAGTCCTCTATACACCCATGTTCTCCACGCTCAATGTCTTCTGTAGTCAGAAAACAGTCGCATACCATTCCTTTACTTTCTTTACTAATCTTCCTTTCTTTACGAAATATACTATCCTCGATCCCTTGAAATTTTTTGAGTTTGTCGACCAATTCAACATCATATTTATTGTATGTCAAATGTCCTTGTTTCTTTATAAGATCTCGTGATGGCACAAACTCATCCTCGATTGGTCCGGATGATTCTTTGTCAGCATCATTGGTGGTGACACTACTATTCAACTGTAGTGACTCCATGGATAGAGATTTCATAGACTCTGCATCAGCTGAATAACGCCATCGAGACTTGACTTTGAACGGCTTTGAGTTTTGTCCGTCGTCCAATTTTGCAGCAGGTAAACCCAAGGTGGATGGAAGACCGAAAGACGAAATCCCCGAAGAAATTGAGTCATTTGGAGATACGCCACCGTCGAATGCACTAGACACTCCATGGTACGAGTTTGAATCTTCATCATTTAGATTTGGGAGACTTTTACTTAAAGTCGAATCGATAGATGATGCTGACGAAAACACGACTTCCCTCCTTCTTCCACGCCCTTTTTGTCCTTCGAGAGATTTTATTCTTGAACTACGTCTAACCCTACCGCTGTCATCTAAATGGAAAGTCACAAAAATTTATATATACATAATAACATTCCATAATACACAAAAATAGTATGCACTAATTCACTCTGTCAATTATAAATACATACGTACCGTCAGGGATGAAAAAATCATCCGTGATTTCGGACACAATTTCGGACACGGGTTTAATATCAGAACTCGCGGCAGGTAAATAGCTAGTAGAACCTTCCGCAGAAAAATCTAAACCCGGTATAAATCCAGGTTGATATGATTCTTCTTTAAAAGTAAAAATCCTGGCCAAATCTTCTGTTTCCTTGTTCAAACCGCCTTCCTGAATCGGTTTATGGTCGAGACTTTGTTCAGCGACATCCATCCTTTCAAAATATGGCTCCTCCTTAATAAGTATCGTATTGTCTGCAGATGAGGAAGAAGACAGAGCCAGTCCTTTCACGGTATGTTCAATCTGATCGACAGAGTCCTCCTGTAAGACTTGGCTTTCACTCTGATTACTGCTTTTTCCTCTTCCACGTCCCCGTCCGCCTCGTTTTCCACGCCCACCGCGCCCCCTTCCTCGCCCTCGCTTCCCTCTTCCTCCTCCTCCCACCACCGGTTGCGGTGTCGGAATTTCTTGTGGTAAATTTTCATAGCCCTGACTCCAGTCCACTCCAGCCTGATCTTTTGACTCACTTTCCGGACCATCCTACATAATAAGTATTCGCCGATAAGCATGTGTATACAATAGAGTAGAAGTGGAACGCTTAACGAATTAAATTAATACTAATTACCACAACTGAGCGATTATTATCTTCGACGGGTGGACGTTTTTCTTTCAATCTGGCCGATCGTTTTTGAGCCAGTTGATACATTTCGTCTGCAATATCAGGACTTGGACATCGTGTTGGTTTACGACCTGGGGCAAATTCTCCCGTCTCCATTTTCAACAAATTTGCAGGACTTGGATTTGATTGTTTTGTTGAAAATATGAACGAATACGAATGGTGAAGAAATACAAACAATTTGCACTGGGTACAATGAGAGAAACAAACCCCTCATTAATCTAAATGTGTTGGAACGAAGTAAATTAAAATATGCATTGCAATCCAGACCAATTTTTAGAAAAAATGAAATTTGTATTGAATTTTAAAAATTTAGTGAATAGTAAATTGTAGCCGTCTTGTTTTTACCAACATAACACAAGAGTTTTGAGTGCATTCCGCTTGTCGCAGCTCTTGCTCATTGCCCCTGACGATCTGGCCAAAGAAAAGCGAAAGGATTTTTGCATTTATTTTGCATACTACATTAAAATGTAGTAAAATTACTAAAAAATATCGAGTAAATTTTCCTACGTATGTGAGTGACATCTTAAAAATTTATTCTTGTCATTGCTTATACATTTCTAGAACAAACACAATACAAACACAATATAAGTAGGTCGTCGTTTGGTACAACAATTACGATACATTTCATGCAATTCGACCTCTTTTTACTTTTGTTAGTAAATCACAATAATAAAACGATTTATTCGCAACAACAATATTATTTAAAATATGACAGGGTTCAAATCTCACTATAAGATTCTTGAAACATAAAACTTAAAAATTACGATTTAAAGAAATAATAAAAAGTATAAAAGTAAGAGACTAGCACTTGCAATTCAACAAGCTCAACGACATGCAATCATCTCACCATAAGCGCAGGTGCACAAATCATATCAGAACAATGACTGGTGCGATGGTGCTTGAGATGGATTAATAAAAATTACACTTATTACACTTATGTATATATTTAATTGTTCTTTTTTCAATACGAATGGCTTCAGTCTTCTTTTACATTCAAAACTTGTTACCGTTGGTTAGGACGGTTTGACTTGCTTCTTGGACTATGAGATCTTGCATCGTCAGGCACCATAGGTGTAGGTCGGTGAATTTCTACGTAGTGCATCAATTCTCTTGGTAAATCTTCTGGTTTGAATGCAATATTATATTTGCAAATAGATTGGGCAGATAGACATTTTAATGAGATGTGCTCCAAGGCTGAAAACCCAATGCCGGACCGAGATTGTAGGATAGCTAAGGGATTTTGGTTGCTATTGTCCAATTGGTCGACATGCGAGCCACTCGATAGTAAAAGGTCAACCAGCTGCGAAACATAGATATTTATCAGACAACATATAACAAACATTATGCGCATAATGTGTAACATAAAATACTTTAAGATCAAAATCATCATTTGAGACCACCAAGTGGAGGGCTAGAGCACGATTATCATTCACCGAGTTGGCATCAGCACCACAAGAGATTAGAAAACGAGCAACATCGAGTGACGGGAAAACGTACACCTATAGTTGAATCGAAAATATGTTGTGCAATTAAATTCATTCCAGAAATGCACATATAAACACCAATAAATAGAATACCTGATGGTCGTCCACAAAGAAATGGCTGCGAACAATGTTTGTACGACTAACTGCAAGAATAATTATTCGTCATAGTAAGAAACATTTTTATGAAGAAAAGGGTATCAAATACGACGATGAACAAATTCCTTGGACAAACTTCTTCCTACTAAGAAATATGTAATGTCAATAAAAAGAAGGCGTAAAACTTACCAGCCATATGAAGCAACGTATCCCCGGTGCTACACATTCGAAGATTGTGTTTCAACAGCATATGCGTCGCCTAAGATTATAGGAAAGTGTTTGCATTTATTTATATACATACATACTTTTGAATATTATTCCATGCATATTACTTAAAAGAATAATACCTTTCGTAAATATATGGTCTGCTCTGGAGTTTTGGGGGCTTTGAGAAGAAGATAAAGCAAATGTGTACAGCATCGGAGGCATCTAAAATTGAGTTAATATTTAAGATTTCAAAGTAATTGTATATAACATACGTACTAAATAACTACATATGTGTGCAAGATCCTGGTAGATACAGTTATGTGGGTACCATGTATAGTAGATATACCTGTCGTAACTTTCTTGTTGTCGTTTGTAAACTGGCCTGATTCTGACAATTTCAGAACAAGTTGGCAATTGTTCAATGAGGAGTTCAAACGTGCCGATCAGGTCAGAAACTTGAAGTGGGTGCGTAGGTGACTTTCGATCGACTTCACTATTCCGATCCAAGTCCAGGTACAAACGTATCTGTGTTATCAAATTTAAGAATTACATACTTAAATCAATAATCAATTAAATACACCGTCTGCGTAAAGACCTTACCAGTGCCAAAGCAGTAAAACAGGTATCACCGTACTGAAATAGAAATATATAATTTAAGTTTAGAGAATTGAGGTAATTACATTATTAAATTAACTCACCAAGAGTGAATCTTTTACTATGCGTAATTGCAAAGCATAACGCCAAAGTCGAATGCAGACCAAGTAATGTGAGGAGTCAGCGTACGCAGCTCCACTGTGTAAACAAAGCAGCTTGATTTAGTATCGTCGATTGGAATTTCTGGTATTTAATTAAAATGATACTCACCGATACATTATTCGAAATATCACATCCTTATGGCCTGCCCCTAGTATCCGCTCAGCAATTAACAAGCTGTTAATTCTCATTTGATCCAAGTCCGTTGCAATATTTTCAAGGTCTTCACGAGATTTGAATTCAAATATTTCAACATCTTTTGCTGTATTTTAAAGAAAATAATAATTATCAAAAACTATTCATGTCGCATACAATACTTGCACTGCGATTTGTGTCAAATACCTTCATTATCCACGATTTTCGCATACAACGGTGAATAACCAAGCTGAGGTTTAGGTAATTGAGGCTCGTAGTCGCAACGAATTGATATTGCCTTCCTCCAAAAGTACAAAGCCATTTGTATATCATGCAATTCGTCGAGAAAAGTGGATCCCATCAACTCGTGCATTTCTGCACGTCTTTCCCTCGTGTATTGGGGTATAAAATCCAGAAGAAAATTAAAGATGGATGTTGCTCCTTAAAGACAATTTTGTATGTTAGTATTACTAAAGCCTCCATAATTACTATTACATAGATAAACCTACCTTTAAGACAAGCTGTTTGAAGAGCATCATCTCCATACCGATTTTTGATAAAGGGACAGGCCCCATTAGCAAGAAGAAGTTTTGTAGTATCAAACCTGTATGTACATAATAAAGGAACTGGTAAATTTCTCTTGTTAGATAGGTGCCCATTTTTAGGTGTCCACATCAATTACGATATCATCAAGCTAAATTCAATCTTAATTTCATGTTTCATCAAAGTAAATTAAGGACAAATCAACTTGCCTATGCTCTTGGATAGCGTAGTGAAGTGCGGTCTTCAGTTGAATATCCTGAGCATTTACATTAGCTCCATGGGCGACCCTATGAAGAAGGATTTGTTGCATAAATAGGCATAACCTGATTAAATGTCATGTAACATCATTTCTTATGTATCACTTACAAGTACTCACACAACGGTGCACTTTGAACCGAGTTGATCAATGCTGTACCACCTTTAATAGTTACAAAATTGAAGATATACTACTACATTGACATTTATCTATATTTATTTATCATTTATCTACATTTATCTTCGTATTATTTAGTATTAGAGGTAAAGTTAACAAACACTCACCATTAAAATTTGGAATGCTTATATCTGCACCAGCGTGTTCTACTAAATATTGCACAATCTCAAAATGCGTCATGAAACCTGGAAAATCACAATACTTGTAGTTATATAGGCTCCAATTTTATTTACTTTGCTTAAAAAAATTTAAATATATATTGCTCACATGCACTCCGAACCTGAAAACAATGCAAAATTAGAAATTAAAAGTTTTGCATGCTAAAATAATATAAACCCAATTGAACTGCAAGATTTACTTACAGGGGTTGAACCTGTGTCGCTGATGCTATTCACGTTTGCACCAAATTTCGTTAAAATTTTAATTATGGGCAGCTTTCCACAAACTGACGCACACCAAAGGGGGGTGACACAATGTGAAGTTTTATCGTCCGCTACTTCGTAAATTCCTTTTTGTTCAACTTCTGTAAATTATGATTATGAGTGTAAAAATGCTTGACCACATATAATTAGAATGATTTTTTAACCTGCTCCACAAGTTTCTAACAAGTACTCAACAATCTCCAAGTTTCCTTTTTTGCAGGCGATGAAAAGTGGAGAGCAACCTATTTGGGAAACAAATTTTTAGCAAATCTTATTTAAAAAGAAATTTGGAGTTCACATCAATTATTTTGTTGTTGCATGCTTCCACTAAGCATTATTTTGGAATTACTATTTGCTATTCAAGTGCTCATTAAAATAGGATATTTTGGGCTAATCGAAGCGTGATTGCTGATGGTATAACAAAATAAATTAAATGAATAAAGACTTGCCGTCCTGTTTTCCTACAACGGACACTACTTCCTTGCGCTCCAACTTATCCAAGCGGTCCAAACAGCTTCGCAGGCTGTAGCTTAGCCTGATAAATTAATAAGACAAGTTCAACTGTAAAATTTGTCTTATCAAAGATGTGTTAAATTAGTGTGTCTTCAATGTTATGTTACTACTTACCTCGCGCCGGGTGCCGCCGCCCTCACCTCATTATGCAAGTCCTCACTTATAGATTCCTTCGACCTAATCTTGGAACTGGAACCTCCCTGCGACGACGACGACTTCCCCAACGCCCACATCGTTTTAAACATTTCCACCCTCCTTGTAGTTTGGAAATAGCAGAGTACTTGACAAATTGGTACGTGGCTTGGTGAAAATGAGCTGCACCACCCACACCTACGTAATATCCACGCTCTTAATTAACCAGGAGGAAACCTTTTGGGTACAAAAAGAACGACGAGAATAAAATAAAAATATAATCCATAATTACTTTAACATGTAATGTTTTATATTATTAGTTAGGGCTGAATTTGCTAAAAAAATTAACTCGTGGTTGCAGCTTGCCACATGAAATGTGGCAAAAATGGCAAAGAAATTCAAATAGGAAAGACAATAATGATGATCGAATTTACGATGCTGTGTGATTCACACACTCTGAATGTTGATGTTATACGATTAAATTAAACTGCTGGTGTATACATTATACTTGTGGTTTATTAACTACACACAACTTGTTGAAATATAAAAATAACTAACTTTTTGCACAATTAGTTTCGTCTTGAACGTTTTGTTATTAACAACTTATAGGAAGATGCAGCTGTTTCCTCGAGAGGAGATTTGCATATTGCATGTGACCATCTTTTTATGTAACGGCTTGTGCTTTGTATAACATACCTGTTGTTTTCCTTTCGCAGATGGTAGTGATCAGGAAATAAATTGGGCCAAGATCAAGTAAGCAGTCAGTTAAATAGTTAGATACAGCACAGCTACATGCGATCAGATAATGCGGAGAGTTGCTGCTTCCTCAACAATGTAATGAGCAGTGTTGCCCTTGCAAAGTGCTCAGGTTTAATGATGGCAAAATAAGTTTGAGACATAATGTAAGGAACTCGGTCTAAATAGGAACTACCAAATATTATGTCCACCAACCAAATAAAGACGACGGAGACCCAATGAACCAAAATAGGATAAAACCTCTATGCAAATAGATAGTCTCAAAATGTCTTTGTTCAGGTCAGACAATAATGTACCCAATAATACGATTAACTTGGAGCTTATATGACTGTAACATACTTTCAGTGAGGACAATAAACATATATTTTCTCTTAAATATGTTGGTAGTAGTTTGACTTATGTGTGTGTGACTCACAATTGTGAGACAGTCTCATCGTCAGTGAGACTGATGACAATCCCAATTCTCAACGCTAAAAATGGTTTACTTTGTAGTAATTTTCCACTGTAAACCATTTCTACTGCATTTGCGCTTTCCCAAATTGTCCATAAATAAAATTACATGGACCATCCATGAGCTCAACAACTATTGAAACCGAGTAAAATAAGTACGTCCATCATTATCTTTAGAACTGTATTTTTCTGTACCTTCATTGTTGGGAAATTGAGACGTGAAGATGAAATGCCAAGCTACTAATCAATTAAGAAGCTGTATATACCATAGTTATTTCAATATTTGATAGGAGGTTGGGCGAGGTACTTTAATGTGAGGCGTTACTTAACTTGTAATTTTAATGCAGCATAGGCAATAATAATCCGTTATTTTTAATTAATTTTTAAACTAAGATTCTCATTTTAAATCCCTTATTTCACTATTTTTCTAACTTTGGTGCTGTATATCTATATGCAATTGTTCTTCCCAAAAAAAGTACAGTATAAACCCCTGACCTTGACTTACTTTATGTGTCTCTGTCTACCAATATTTAAGCTAACCGAACCTATGCTTACCTTTCCTGACTTCTTTTTGTTCTTGTGTATTCTCAACTCCACAAAGTGTCAATTTGTTTGTTAAATCCCAGGTATTTAATGCTGCGAATTTGAAGGAAACGAAACACACTACGTGTGACGACAGAACAGCACAGAAAACGGAGTTGTTGGATCATTAGCCATTATAAATTGATGTCGTTTGGTCTATCGCATGCAAAGAACTTGGGTCGGACAATTCCCGGATCCCGACCGAAGAACCGAATAACACGTCAAGGCTAGATCCGGAAAAACTGAGTAACGCTGATTAAACAAACCGAATCCGGGAACCATACATTTATATAAGACTTAATGAGTTTTAAATGAAACTACCAATTTGCCAATTTTGCATATTCTTTTAGCTTCAATGCGAAATATATTGTAGCAAACTTTGATTTTATTTAATGCATAATTATCATAAGCAACCAAATGTGGAACATTCATATGCATTTTGTACAACTTATAATTCATGGGAAAATGTATATACTTATCTAAGGAGCTCTTCTCGTGTTCAAGTCATGAGGTTTCCAGGTTTAATGTATGTATTGATATATAAGTTGAAGGATGCTTTGCATTAAATGCTATCTCAATGTGCTTATCCATTTGGTTAAATTTACAAGTGTTTCTTCTTTGGCAGCTTGAGAAATCTCATACTCAATTGACTCAGGATGACACATTTCTAAAATAGAGATACATTCTTGCAAATTCTTCAGAGTCAGTTGTAATTTTCGACGTAAAATGGATCCCTTGCATCGAAGTCTGCGAGCCTTGATCACTTCTGCCGCTTGAAGCTCATATAACACCAGGCCTACATATATATATGAATTGCATGTTATGAAATGGTTTAGTATTTTCCTTGATATCTCATAATCCCACCCGATACCTCTGGTAACCGTGTACCCAGGCGTAACAATGTCCAGAATTTTCATGACTTCTCGACACAATTCCAACTTCCTGTCCAAATCTTCTTCCGTCAATGATTCCAACGGAGTTCCCTCTCTTCCATAAGCCTATAAGACGTTGAGGTCAACCAATTAATATTGCGATCAATTATCCAAAATTTGTTTAATTGATTACGATCAGATGGTATGCAATGCGCACTACCTGACACAAGTTGAACTTTACATCAAATGGTATGTAATGGGTAGGATGGAACAAAGCTTTACAGTTTTGCAAAAACTTTTCACAATTCGGTATTTCTTGAACCCTATCCAAAACTTCTTTCCATATCAGCAATTGAGATTCAATTGCTGCAGTCGGAATTCTAAAGTAAATATATACTTCAACATGTATTTACAAATATATGCATATTCATTTGGGCAATTTGCATGGTAATGTTTTTTACTTGGATCCACAGGATTGGCACACCCAGTTTTGACAGTATTCCACAGCACCAATGTTTATGACATCTCCGACTTTACAAATTTGACAGATCAAAGTACCCAGATTGGAGCCAAGCTCTCTGGGATCATTGCATCGTTTGCATGAACATTCGAAGAATTTTGTCTCCGACATCATGAGACGACGTTGAGCGGTTGCCTACTCCCAAAAATGTACTGTTTGTTCAGGCTAACGATGAGTGATTGCATAATTAATTTTCATGGTGGTATTCTACATAGTCGTACCTCCAGCGAGAATGCATAACAAATCGTTAACGGCTCTCCCGGCGGTATATCTACAGCAGCTCGAAGTTCAAGTATCCCACTGTATGGATTTTCGAATCGAGTGGTATTTGGTAAGCATGAATGGGCCATCATTGCTGCCTGGAAGAATTAAATAGTATGCAAATTGTGAGTACATAAATAACTACATATAAAACATGTGCACTATCGTGTAATATTTAGTTCGTGTTATTGAATTACTGGTAAATTCGTAAATTATTACTTTTGGATAAATACCACGATAAGAGACCTTGTCTCCAAGCTCAAATGCATTCACCTCCAATATTCCACAAACCTACATATGATACAATGTCATCATTATTTTTACATGTTATGTAGTTTGAAACTGAGATTTTCAATTATTCAAAGTGTTTTTTTTACAGTATGGACTTCTTCAGGCGTAAAATATTCTCTTAATTCCCAGTCTCTCAGGATGACATCCACAACATTGATAACGTTTTCTCTCCACAAGGGAAGATTTTTACGAATCTCGTTGTGAGCCTCCAACTGCATCAATACCTTCCATTTTTCAGGGTTCTGATATTTGAGCATAAGTCCTCGAAGCACGGTCACTGATCCAAATCATACTCAGCTAACTCAAGTTCAACCAAATCATTAATCCAAAATCTAACCTGATCCAAAGTCGCTGTTTCCAAATCGTGTTGGAGCCTAAAAATAAGTTCATTTTGACTAAAACGAAATGCCGTAATGTTGCTGAATCAGCTTGACATTAATGATCATCATTCATAATCATAGCATCAGTATATGATTTTTTTAAAACTAGATATTACAAACACAACTACATACACAACTTGTTCGTATGTACACATGTACGTAAATACGTACATACGTACCGATATATTTGGATAAGCAATTTTTTAAAAAGGCAATAAATTAAAATTGGACTGATTTGAAGATCCATACCTTTACATGTTTTTGTACAAAGAACTTGCACTCGTCCCTATGAAAAGCCGTATCAGCACACGCATCTGAGCAAATTGGCCATGAGCAGAGAGGACACGATTTCCTGATATTGCATTTCCGCACATGTGTAAGCAATAAATATGAAATGTATGTATATGCACCATCAAATCCATTATCGAAAAACTTTAAAATTTTAATATATGTATTTTTTTTGTCAAATGAGATCCACACCTGTCCTGCGGACTTTCAAAATTGGAATGACAGCCTACGCAGCATACATCACCGGACCTTTGTGGGCCTGCGATTAAAAACTTTTCAGACAGGATAATTGTTCCTTTTTTTATTTCCACCCTGGATTGCAAGAACCTATGAAGAACATAGGATTGATTTCAAAGAATCGTTCAGCTAACTAATGAGTTACTGAAAACAGATTACTTGCCTCCCATAAATTGGAGAAACTTCGCAGGTAAACAGGTCCGACTCGTACTCGCCCGTCGAAGATTGTCCTAGGTCAGACTTATCCTCAGAATTGGTAGGCTCCGATTTGGCCTTTGCATGATTCGTCGAAAATCAAATAGATTAATGTGATAACCACAAGCTAGGCACTGCTGGGTGTGATATGTACCTTGCTTGAGCGTTTCTTCCTTCCCATTTAGATGCTTGATGATGATTTGTGAAATGCCGAATACCAAATTTACATGCAAATTTACCACGGGTTATTTCAGGTATGGTTTCAAGATAGCGTCTCTATTTATAAAAGTGATGGCTACTTAACGTGCACAACAATTATTCTTATTTAAAAACAAAAACATTACTTTATTATGAATTTAACCCGCAGTGAAATAGCACAAACAGTGATGTGATTTTGATATGTGTTGACGTGGTGCAATGGCTAGTTCTTCTTGATTCTGATGTTCAAATCTTGGTTGCTGATGGATGAAAGGTTTCAAGTTGTATTTTGAATGGATTTTACAATACTTGCCAAAAATAAACCGAGAAAGACCAACAACGCGGCGGGTGGATGGCGTTTCTATTATGGTGAAACACTGACATCCCCGTGTAATGATAAGTCAAGCACACACGAAAAATAGAATTCGGTTGGAGTTGCATCTCCGTTGACTCAAATCCCTGTCATTTCGGATCAGTGTTGAGAAAACACATACTACGGACTTATAGGTACATGCGTACGTATGTAGAAATGAAATGACTACAATAATAATAGCATTTGTGTTAACGACGACGACGCGATTCACATCGCAGATGTTCTTGCTTCATCTGTTGTTCCGGGGTTTCACTTATATTGCATTAACTTGTCACATTTCTGGCCTTAATTTATGATTACAGTTGTCTCTCTCAAAGGAGGAATTGTTTTACAGGAGTTCATTTAGGAGGAAATGTGCAATTAGCGAAAACAACTTTCACAAACAGTTCATTTATCAAACCCACCACCTCTGCGTACATATTTATTTGTATCTCTCTAGTCTCCTCTCAACCGTGCAATAAAAATAATAGAAAAGTATATTTTAAATAGTATTTATTTCCGTTCCAGGGCATTGCATAAAACAAACTTTAAATACATCTTCAAGACTTATAAAAAATTGTCTGTATTTTCAAGTTAGACTAGGTGCCAAAAATTTCATGATGTTTCAAGAGACGAAAGCATTTCGGATTTACACAACAAACAAAGTATGCAATGTGGAACAGTGAATTATCTCGTATATTTTTAGTTGGAATTTGGCAAATCAAAATATAAATCTGATGAGCCTAATGATTACATCAAGGAAGTGGAAAGAGATTTGGTATATATATGAAGCCCTGCCTGGATTAATGAGACTCCTCAACAAGAATCTTAATTTCAAATAGGATAAATTGCGAATTGACGAGACGTATATTCTATACATACATGTCTTGCCTAATCAAACTTTTGGAATGAAGTAACCCGACGTACTGCTATTTTTTGCGACACCGTACTTCTCTTAAATTGTTGTGATCTAATTTTAACAGGTCATTATTCGCAGTCTTTAATCTGATCGTAGTCAAATGTGAGGTCTTCAATGGATTTTTGCGTATGCTTCCCTGGTATATGATCCTCATCTTATCTGGCTAGATAGAATCCTCATAAGCGTTATATTAAGCATCTGAATCCTCATAGGACACCAGGTTAACCTGGTTAAAAATTTAGAGTATTTTAATTTAGGGACCGTTGTGTGACCCATACGAATATTTTTTTATGTCGTCGGATCGAGCTGAAATTTGTTGCATAGGCTGCTAATTGCCACTGGTCAAAGAATATGGATTTAAACTTGAACAAACAATTCAAGGTCACTTTTTGCATTTTTTATAAATACCACCTTGTCGATGTGGCGAATCGCCACATTGAATCGCCACTGGCGATAGATTAGTTCGTTTTCAACATTTTTCTACCATGCAAGTGTCATCGGAGTTCAATTCTTAATGATTGTCAATTTCTTTATTTTTACTGACAACTGAGGCTTCCCTTTATGTCCTCCATGTCCTTTATGACAGGTACTCGAATAATGTTCTTAAAAATAATCTTTTGCTAAATATCTATATGATTATGAAAGTAATGAGATTATTGGGTGCCAGGGGTCAGATGAGATCAATACAAAAAGATGATGCAAATCTGGAAAGGAAACGAGCAGTGAACAACACAAACACAAGTCCTTCTTGCTCAGAAAGTGTAAATCGAATAGATCAATATTTAATTGTGAAATTACGTAGTTATTTGTATTTTTTGCGAGTTACTTGTAATAAATTGAAGTTAATAAACCACAAATTAGTAAACAAGGTTGAATTTTTAGTGCTGGTGAAAGCTCCTGTCGAAAATTATTAGTTTATAATTGGACTCCCGAATTGCATATTCCCTGCTGGTTCATTTCCGCCGAGACGATGTGGGCACTGAGAAGGTCGTTGTCATCACACGGAAGTTCCAACTCCAGCATCAAGTCGAAGGTGTCTGAGGTCTTGCCTAATGAGGTGAAGGCGGTGACACCCGGCACGAGGTAATTAATACAACGTATGTGTGCATTAATCTAGTGTTTCTTTGTAATTGATGAATAATGTTCTGAAAAGACCGAGTCCAGCCATAAGGAATCCCATGCTTCCTATTCCTTCGGCGGAAATGATTAAAAAGGCGTCTGTGGTTGTGAGTATCATTTTTAACGCAAGTCAGATCTCGTTCTCTTGCATTGAGAGAAATCCAAAAGATCAAACATTTGCACTCAAGGAGTTGCAGTTCCACCCACTCGTTTTAAGAAGTAAGCAACATTTCCTGTCATCCATGAGTGAGGTGAGGTGAGGGGATTTATATAATGACACCAAATACAGTATTTGAAATACTTTTATCGACTTTAAAAAATTAAATAATTGTGAAAATTTCTAAGCAGATGGTGACTTTGTCTAAGAAGATACCACGGTCGGATTTGTGCATGATTGAAGAGTACCCAACTACCGCAGCGAATCCTCACATGTTTGCTTATGTACTTCAGATTACTCAACTGAGGTCATTTTTGCTAGGAAGCTTAACCTCGCGCATGGACCTTTCACAAATTGTGGCAATCAAGACGGTGGCAGTGGCTCGCTTATTCAACACTGTTGTTGGTATGTAAAGGAGTATGTCTGTTCAATAGATTTACAGACTTACCAGTTATACCAAAGAAATATGAACTGTATCAATATTTATGTAAACTTTAACTCATTATCATATGTAGGAAATGAGAGGGTGTCTGGACAGCATCTAGTTGACAACATAATCACATGGAAGCCACTCCCATCCTTTATTGTTCCACAAAAATTGAAAGATGAGTATGAAAATTATTCGGCAATAAGTAAGGAAGGATTGGCGAACGCTATTTTATTAAATTTAGCTTATTGGAGATTGACCAAACAATTTACAGATTCTATTACATAAAATTCAATAAACTATTAAACAAAATAATTAAAAATTTGCAAACCATTCATACTTTTTAACAAATTTTAACTAGAAATGCACTGGTTCATCAATTTGTTATTGCAATTATATTATTGCTATCCGACCGAGTTTTTTAGTCTTTAATGTATTTACTTTTTAAGCTGTAAGTACGCAAAGGAGCACTTGTTTCGAACGATATATTATTTATATATTAATGGAAAATGCAGTGAATACAGTGATAGGAGACAATTAATACAACGAGATATCACAGTACATTCGTCGTTGACAAGATTTCTCATAACCGTTCAACCCTTGTTTAAATAAATTCGATTCCTTCATATTTATGATCACCCACTTTAGTTTCAGGGAGAAGTATATTTCCCTCCATGTCGAACACCATTATATACGTTGCTGTCTTCCCTTCTATCTCTTCAGACTTTAACGCTACCACCAATGCGTCGTCAGTACCAGGAATCCACTTGAAGCTGTATATAATATTGATCATTAATAAAATCTTGAAGTATTATAATAAGCAATGCAAGCTATTCATGTTACCAAAAATACCTTACCTAGAAAATCCATGAGTTGGAATAATTTCACCCACAGTTGCGACCTATATAGTATATACAGCACTTGTATTAAATCTTAACTGCTAAATGCAATACATATTATTCAATTCCAATTACCTTTACATTACTGAAATCTTCGTCTGCATAAACCATCATATTTGTACCCTTGCGCTCATCCGTCTTATCGTTGTATTTCTCATTGCTTGCTCTCCGAGGTAAAAACATCCACTTTTTCATTACACTACTCCACCCAGCAGATTCATGAACAACATAGCCTTGTTGGTTACATGAAACAAAACAGCAAATTAATGATTTGATGTTCAAATTTCTAAATCTAAAAGGTACCTACCAGGAAAATGTATACCCATCTGTTGAAAAATACAGTGAGACAAAGTTCTATTATTGAAATCACTCACTCAGGTTTCATAGGTAAACAAGATCACGGAAGATAGTACCTCGGATGAAATCTTTTGATAATTCGGCCTCCAATTTAAGTGGCTAACTTCACCTGAAGCCGATATCTTTTTAACAAATTGTGGATTGTAGTTGACATATTCGCCTAATTTACATAAATCATGGCGTGTAAATGGATTAGTGCGTAATCATGGTGTGTATATAATGGTGTAAAACGATGGTCACCTTCAGGTGTGGTCCAATCCTTTCCTAATCCACCGACATATAAATGCTCATCTTTCACCGTGGCCCACTCACATTTGAATCCTGAATTAATTAATATACCAAGAATTAATTCCAAATATATATGTAGCGGTACAAATGATTTACTTGTTTTAATCAAATAATAATTTTTGACTGAATATCTTCTACCTTTAGGAGATGTTCCATTTCCATCTGCCAATATTACCTTTTGGGACATGAATTTTGTCAGTTAATTATTATTATGGATTCAACATAATAGGATTCACATATAATGAATGAGAATTATCTACTGCTTACCCACGGGATCGGTTGAACGTCTGTTGCTGTATCGCTAAACGGTACCTCGAATATGACGCCTGTCCGGTCGTCGCAAGTGTATAATTTTCCATTAAATGCTACAAGTTCAGATAATTCCATCCCCCTGCTGTCCAAGCTTAAGCCTGATTTAATAGTGTGCGGTTCTCCACTGTCCCACTCTACAGAAACCTATGTAATATAAATTAATAATACAATGTAATATATATAATAACTTCGGGTTATTGCAAGGACCTACGTATAAAGAAATGCAAAAAAAAAACATTCAGAAATACCTTTGACAATTTTGGAGAGTGTGCATTAAGCTGAAGGAATAAGTACCCTCTTCGAAAATAAGAAACCCATTTACCTCCACCCGTTTTCGAGTCCTACATATGCACAAAATATTAACCTTTCGTAGGATGTGTGCATATAGAGAGTAAATTAATTGTCTTACTACGTCCAAATCGGAAATGATGCCAATATTGTAACGAAGTCCTGCATACATAAACAAAGAAACGAAACATCAAATATTACCTCAAGATATTGAATATACTTAAACCTTAAACCGAAAGGTTAACTTACCTTTCTCTGTTGAAACTGGCTTCGTCAATGGATATGCGTCATTGTATTGACTTTTAGTGATTTTAGTACCGAATAGGATTGATGCCTTTTTGCCTCCAACATCGCCGTTCGAAATGACATTGCTAAATTTTCTATCCGTACTTGAATCTATACCTGTTAGAAGTTGACAAAAATGAGTTAGTTGAGACCTCTCAAAAGTTTTTAAAAGGAGACTTACTATTAGTATTACTGTTGTTTGTCCCTCCCCCAGTAGGTAACATAATATACAAGACACATACAATTGTGAAGACAAACACAAGAACGACATATTTTGTTTGAAATCGTAGAGTTGAATTTCCTAATCTGTACGCCGGAGGTGAAGTAATGGCTTGTCTCCATTCTTCCAAACTCATTGTTGTATAAATTATATATTATTTTCTAATAAATTACGACTTGATTCGAATCAAGGATTGGAGGAATTTATAGATCAAGTGAGCAGCGAGTGTCACGAAAGAAGAAAATTACTAGACCAATTTGCTATATTGTCAGCAGCTCCATATGTTGAATTAGCCATATTCTCTCATCCAATTAACCCAAGGCCTTATTTTCTGTTGCTAATTTCGGAAACTACTCTCATCAACGCCGATCAAAAGTTGGCCTTCCGACGTCGGCCAACGTCACCTTCTTCAATCTCGTTTCGTTACAATTCCATGATGATGACAGGTCGTGCAGAAAATTATATCCTACTTGTTTGTTAGATATCTAACATTGCACTTTAAACGTCAATTAGTTATTGTCAATTAATCCATTTGGAGAAAGAAGATTGTTGAAATCACCCGATAACTTTAAGTGATTGTTTTATTGACAACGTGTGGGCGCGGTGCCGTGGGTGGGACAATTGTGAAATTTTGACGAAAACTTCAACTAAAACAACAGACTTTCTAAAAAAATGTGTTGTACAAGTTTTAGGCGGACCGCTTGTAGAATCTGTTGGGGATGATGAGATGTTTTTACATGTATGCAACAATTCATTGGATGAGAATGAGAAAGTGAGACAATCTCACTTTGCTGGAAAAATTGCCCATTCTCAGATTTCAAAGTCTAAAATAGTAAGTAACAGCGTTAAGTAAAAAAGAGACCCTTGTATTGGATTGGGCCCTTCAAAACTACAGGAGATATAGTTTGATTTCAAGGGAAGAGATGGCAGGAAGGGTGCAACCCTTGAAAGATGTAAATGTGACATTTATACGGAAAATGATGAAACGATACAGTGTTTAGTTTTTAACTTCAATTTTATTTTCATAGTTCCATTTATTAGTCATTTATGTTTTGCGTAACCACATTTAGGATTTGTGAAACCTTAAATAAATGGCAGAATAAAATGTACACATATTTTTTCTGCATGCTGTTGTACTGCTCTAAAAGTATTATTCTCAACAAAAGAAGATTGCAATAAGGGTCGTATATCAATCAACTGGCGGATTCAAAATGTTTCAGTAACAAGGGTTTTGGACGTTAAATTGTGAAATAATTCTGATAATGTGACGGGTTTACAGGTACATTAGATCAACAGCAAGTTGTTGAGCAAGTCTCGAGTAGAACCTGATGAAAACTTGTTCCTTCCGAATCTCACACCCAAATCAATTCAATTTATGTACTCCAGCACCCCAAGGGCCCTTCTAGCTAGCCCTTCTAACCAGTTGATGCATCCAAGATAGCCGTGATAATGGGCTTTACATGTATCAACAACAAAACAAATCCTTCTCCGCATTTCAACAGCTTCACTTCTTCAAACAACATGATTTTGATCAAATTCATATCTCCCCTTCATTCAAATCTCTCAAAACATGAGATTTACTTTACACGCTTCCTCCATATTTTATTGCCTTGTTGTTAGAATCATCAAATTCAGAGAGAAATCAACGCTGTTTTTTTCTCAGAAAACTGGGAAAAGTAACTCTTCCTATCAAGAACAACCAGCTAACTGAAAAATCTACCTACCACGAGTCCATAATACGTAGTAGTTCTTCCTATTCTGACCACAACATGAAAGATGTATTTACTGGCAGCTTTTCTCGTAAAAGTTCAAACACCAAAACTGACTGTGTTTCTGACAATTTGAGTGATTTAACGTCCATTCGGATAAATTCTAAAGTTTTTTCCTCCATTTTCCCAACATTTCTCATGCTCATCTTCCTCATCAACTCATTCACTCTTCCATTTCTTCTTGGGGTGTGCTATCGTGGGGGGCTGCATTCTTTTTTGTGTAACTTACCCGAGCAAGTATATGTAAATGGAGACACTAATCACTACACACCTAATGAATCTAAATCTTGACGACCAGTCTTTAATCAATTTCTTTATAGTCACTCTTATACATAATCAGGCGGCATTCATTAATAGCGTGCCACGGTTTATGCAGATTTCGAGAATATATCTGCCTATGTGCATACAGTAAAATTGGAAACTTGGCATGAAGCGATCCAAGCGAGATGATCGATTTTGTGATACATAGCTCGACCTCTCAGTCATTCTTGGTTGCTATATTTCTTACCTGGCTTCAATCATTCAACTTTTTAAGCGATTTAATTTGACAGCATCAATTACCTACATTTGTGGGAGAGTCAGCCAGAGTGGGTGACACAGCAAAATTTTGAGCAGACTGGCTGCGTCATTAGCCATAGCAAAGAGATAAGTTGACGGGCATCCAAAGGCCAACTCAGCCGAAATTTTATACTGACTTGTCTAATGAAGCTAAATGAAGCTTTGTTGCACTATCGATTTCACCCCTTTCACAATCAAAGCAGTAATAAATGGCATCAGTCACAGGGTGCAGAATGCGGTACCTGTTCATACTTATTTATATATTTAGATTATATATAAATCAGCTCCAACAACGCCAGACCATGTAGTCTCGCAATCATTGTGAGAATGTAAGTACGTATGGATTTCAAAAATGCATGCATATTAAATATTTCTCTCTGGAAAGCAGCACAAATTTATTTTATGCACCATTTTATTGAAAATAGATACTTTTATAACGAAATAACATCAATGTTAAATAAATACATTACAATCTTATAGCATTGGGAATTTCGTAAATAGTAATAAACTAAACATATTTACTAAACATCCGCCAAACAAAATTTTCTAGATCTACCTGCACCACTGAGAAAAGCGTGGACATAGGTCATAATTATTTATGGTTGTGGAGGTTGACATTTGAGGAAATATCATATTCATTGTATTTGTACTCCCTAACAATTCACGTACTTGTACATACTCTGACTGATGATAGAACAAAGATCAGTAATAAATCTGGATGACTTTAATTCGACATTTTGAGGAGAACAGGAGGGGACAGAGATGGAGAGCTGGCTGAGTATTCTGTTTCCATTTGAGCCTCAATTAATCCATGTCCTGGTAGTTAGATGAGCCTGACAGAAGCATCGAAAGCAAATCCACCCACACGTGAAAACTTGGACACTATCTGACATCTCAAGTCACGGAACCAACGGAATCATTTCGTCTTCGTGATTTACCAGATTGAACCCTTCAAAGCAACAAAATACGTTTCTGTGTATTCCAACCCCAAGTTTTAGTCCGATATGGTGTTCTTATTCTCTCTGTCGCATATGCCAATTCATCAAGTTTCCATCATTTTCTATTATTTTTGACCCAACTTGTCAGCATTGTACCTTTGTAGATCCATTGCGTCTGCACATCATTTCATAGTATGATTTTTTCTACATATTGCTTACGAAAGTACTGTTGTTGACTGTACATTTTCATGTAAGCTATCTTGCGTGACAATAAATCTTTGTGAACACCGCACATTGAGTGATTCGTGCATATTCTAAATATACGCTTTGTGTAATCAATATATTACTTACGAAAGTAGCAAGTATATCAAAAAGTCCATATATATTTAGAATTTCACAGAACGCATTACAATAATAACTTTTAAATCTCATGTCACCCAGTCGCAGACTCGCAGGGCTGTGTTGCCAGCATTATAAGGGTAAAGTGAAAAAAAAGAAAGATTTTCACTAGTAATAAATCCATCAATTAGTGTGTCAGTCAGTTCCCACTCTACGAAAATGTCTCGCATCTCAAGCAAGTGAGGTAGACTTGAATGTGTGCTTTGAGGATTAAAAATCTTGGAGTGTTCTGACAAGCGACAATCTGTCAAAGGTGCCAAGAGCATCATCATTTATCTGAAGGCAGGCGGTCGGACGGTTGCTTTTCAGTTTTTCCTATTCCGAACAAAGATGCACTTGATGATGAGAAATCTGAATGATTAGTTTAAGCATAAGGTAATTTTTGGATAGAAGAAAATTACTTCCTTCAAGCTAAAAGTACTGGCTGCTTTACACATGCAAATACATACATAATATACATTGACACCAAAAACAGCTACTGTTGGTGTGATTATATATGTATATGTAGGTATATACATCAATATATACACTATTTGCACACAGGTATACTTGTATTCTCAACAAGAAAAGCAGGAACTGTGCGTGCATGTTTCATTTTCAATTTCATCCAATATACTATTTTTAAAATGCTATTATAAAAATGTTATTTTATATAGAGCGTACTCACGTCAACCTTCGCATATCTCGCATATCTCGCAAATTGAGCATAGCAACATAACTTGCGAAGTTTTGCGAGATATGCGAGATTTCGCAAAAATTTTGCTGGAAAACCATGGGATTTTTTTCGCAAATTTACCCAGCAAATGGGCATGTTCTTATTTCGCAAAATTACTTCGCAAACTCATCCTCACCATCGCCAGCAAGAGAAATTAAAGAAATCCATGGAAACAATACCAAAATAGGTATTTTTCAATAGATTTGCGAGATTAGAGAGATTTGCGAACTCATATTTTGCGAATCCCCTCACGACAGAAATATTTTGATCTTCGCAAGTTTGCTAAATGAGTTGCGATGCGAAATAAGAAGTTGTCGTGAGTACGCCCATAGTTTTCTAAGAACAATTTAATTTTGCAATTTGATAAAATCTGTTTCCAATTACGTTTGTGGAGGAAGGGTGGAAATTTTGTAGTGTAAAATAACACTGTTACACGAAATGTTTATGCTCGTGATGGATGATTTGTGCATGGCTAGAAGGATATGGATTGGTTCATAGTAATTTAGTCGCGGTCAATTAGCAGTGAATAGCAAGCGAGTGTTTAAAACCTCATTTACGAAATATCTTAATTAGAAATAGGGCCCGTGGCAGAAATTTATAACATTCTTTCTCAAACTCTATTGTTGGCAAGCCCAACTCCTCAGTCGACGAGTCGTCCACTCTTCGTCAACGTCTATCATTACACTTCTATTTTAAATTCACATACAGATGAAAAATATTTGAAATACTTTGGACACTTGGACGATGTAAATATCTAAATGGTGGACTCGCCATCATAAAAATTCAGCAAGGACTTGCATCAATTACACCACGTCAAAGTGAACCATACTCTTCAATATGTTGCACAATGATCTTTATTCAGCCTCTTTCCAACCCTATAACCACCTTAACTAACAAACAAGCTATTTAAAATATGGATGAATGTCTATTCAGAAACGCTAAATAGTAAGCAAGTAGTTAGCAAATTCTTCAGCTGAACAACTGAGAGATGCGTAGTCTCAAAATTATAAAAGTTATTGTCCTCTCCACCGAATCGTCTTGTAAGTGTTTCATTTTTCACAATAAACTGTATTGTTCAACATAGCGATGTAGCCATTAGAAAGGGCAATACTGCACAAATGTACGCAGTGGATATATGCCAGCTCGTTGATTTTATAGGAAGCACTCTTCCGGAGGGCTTTCTAGCGTGGCTTCGTTATGTGCAAGAATGACTGGAAAGAATCCGTCACTGCTGAGGTGCGAGCCATATGAGACCAGTCTCCGAAGGGGGCACAGAGGGCCACTACTCGTGACCTACCGTGACACAGCAACATTA